TATTTACAAAGAAAGAAACTATCAAAGCCAATTAGCTGTCTTTCTCCTTAGGGAATCATGGCCATACTTCTCGAGGCTAAATCTGCTGGATCCGTTTAGAAAAAGCTTTAAATTCATGCGGATTAAAGTGAAAACGACGTGCTTTTTGCTTTGCCTCATCCTAGCTGAACCAAGCGCTAGATTTGGACACTCCGTGTTTAATTCACGGTTGGGGGACGAACTTCATTGCTCTGATACTCATTGTACAGGGAATTCCCTAGTTTGAGACCAGGTAACTGGTGTGGTTTATCAGGAGTTTTATTGTTATTATTTCGGACATCTATAGGAAATGGCACTATTTTTTCGGATCTAAAATATTTGGTTTTTTTTTTCAAACAAACCAACGTTTCAGGTTTTTTAAAGATTCCATGGTCACGGCTGACCCGTTGAAAAAATAAATGTACACAATTTAGATACAAAAAAAATATTTTAATTTCCTTTATGTAACAAACGCGAAAATAACTAAGAAATATTTCGTATATCTATTTTAGATTCTCGCTTTTGTAAAAATAAATTTTTTTTTACGGCAAAGGCGCTATTAACTTGTAATTTATTATTACCAAGCCGCCAAAGTGCCTTTATTATTGACGATTTACTAATTGATACTAGTATTATTGAGATTTTTTGTGAAATAACACCACTAGTTTTTATTATGATTATTAATACAAATATCGCACATAGAAAAACATTTTTCACCCCAATGAGACTTGAACCCACGGCCATACTGTACTGTAGTATTGCTCCTACCAACTGAGCTACGGGTCAAGTTATCGAGTTGTCAAAATTCTGTTGTGTTTTTGTTAAAGATCTACAGATCATACAGAGAAGATACAGGATTTTTCGGCATTCTGAACTACTAGTGACATCTAGTGAGAATTTCCAGAACCTTCACATAATTGATACTTGTTTTGTTACAGCTAGAGAAAACGGCTATGAAAGTAGCCCTGATCGGTCGCGACGGCGCTTCTCTACCTATGTACTTTCTCTCGTGGGTGCAGTCTAAACTGCTCTTCCAGAAGGTATAAAATGAATACTAGAAATAAAATTAAGGGCACCTTCAAATTAGACGCTTGTAGAAGCGCTAGAGTGGCGCATCTGTAGCGCTTTAGTGATTTTTAGTTCACTAATTGTGACTGCAAAAGTGGCGTGCGCGCGCTTGTCACGACATTGCATCTGCGCTTCTAAATATTGTATGAAAATTAGTAGTGGCGCGGACTGCAGCTCCACAGTAGTGCCACGGTAGCGCTTCTATAAGCGTCTAATTTGAAGGCGTCCTAAAATTCGTACACAAATATCATCAAATATATATAATACACGACTCACACTTGTCACAATCCTGACTCATGCTTTCTTATTCTTATTATGCAGTCCTTTTTAAGTACGTACTCGATTTGATTTGAAATAATTCTTATATAACTCAATCATATAAACTATAACTCTATAGACATTTTTAATGTCACGAGTGTACAGGTATCGTCTAACTCGATTGAAAAGACTTTCGACCCCCAGGTTGGAGTAAACCCTCTAACCTACAAGGGGTCTATATCAGCGAAAAAAAGGAGGTGCATGAGATAGTAATGGAGGTTCACGAGAGTGGGACTCATTTAGGCAGGCCGTGATCAAAATTATGACTTTCCATATAACTTGTAACTTGTGATACTTTCATTTAATAGATCTGTATATTACTTATGAAGTAAACAGTTCACAACGAACTAGATATTCAGTTAGATATAAATGAATAATATATTTTTTTATAAAATCAAATTGAGTTTTTTTAACTTGAAATTATCGAAGACTGTGTTAGCTGTCACATACGTTTGAAGTAGATAAATTTGTAAAAAAAACGATATTAGAAAGGCAGAAAAACCTGACACGTGTTCTTCTAGAAAAAAAGTTTGGGAACCTCTGGTCGAACCGAACGCGTAGTATCACACCCTTTCCGTACTTTCGTATGTTCCGGTTTGTCATTCTGCTGTCAACTCCGTTAGCTGTGAATATTTTATTATTTATTTATTGAGCATTGGCTATAGAGCCAGTAGCTTAGACACGAAACACAATTATGAAACTCGAAACGTAATAAAACTTAAACCAATAATATAATATTTGTTAAAACAATAACTACAGTAATCATAACTTTTTATATAAAAAAACTTTTAATGAAATCGGTTACTGGAAAGTGCGCGAAACAGGATTCATCCCTTAGTTTGCCACCCTTAGAGGTGGAATATTTTCTTCAAATTTAAATGGGACTCTCTTTCCAACAAAAAAAGAATCATCAAAATCGATTCACATAACACACATACAAATAAAATACACTCGAATTGAGAACCCCCTCCTTTTTTGATGTCGGTTAAAACTCGCCCTTTTTCTTCATTAGAAGAGAATCATTTGTTTACGTTGAAGAAAAAATGCCGACCACAGAGTCGAATCCAGAATACCAATACCTCCCTTATGAGTACCTTTTGCCGTGTTATATGCGATCGCTCACGATTATCAACGTGATGTCAGAGGTACAACTTTTATGGTAATGCTGTAAATTCTTTATGTTCTTTACAGTTGGCGGAAATTCCTCGTGACGAGTTGGACAATCTTCCTCAAGACTTTAGCAAATTAGACACCTTTGATATCATGCAGAGAGCGAGGTATGAAACATTTTTTATTGTTTGACATTCTTAACAACCAAGAAGATGTAATTTAACAGATTTTTCCCATAATTCTTTCTATAAACACGGATAAACAAATATACTACTCCTGCCTGCTGATTTTGATTCAAATAGGAATCGAACCGATCGGGTAGTTTCGAAATCAGATGGGTTTTCGAACGAGAAGATGAACCAGGGGGTCTACTCTCGATCTCTGTCCGACAACCGTCCGAAACAACTACTGTCAAATAAGTAATATTCGACAAAATTAAAAGTCAAGTATCCAGTATGAAGCTTCATTCGCATCTCGCGTCTTTTCATTAGGTCAAGTATTACTTATTTGGCAGTAATTGTTTCGGATGGATGTCGGACGGAGATCGAGAGTAGACCCCCTGATTCCTACTATATCTTTCTAATTTGTGAGTTAAATCAACTATTTTTCTGATTTGAAATGTCAAAATTTTCCGATCGGCCAGTTGTGAATCGCAATTATGCGCCTCGACCCCGAAGAGACGCAGTTTCCGATCGGGAGAGGCAATCAAAATCTAACTCCTGGAGAAAAACTATAGACCGATTTAAGCTATCTATAATATTAAGTAATTGCCAAGTTATTTGGTCATACTTATTTCTGTCCGTGCGTTCCGGTTTTGAAGAGTAAGGGTGTTGGTAATACTTAAGTTCTGAGTGGCACTGCAACTCTTACCATCAGGACTTGTTCGTCCCGTCATTTGATGTTATAAAAAAAATACGATCTAGTGTAAACACGCCAGCACTGCACTTAATTATTATTTCTGTGGAGATAGTTGAAGTATACATTCCGCGTTGGCAGATACTATATGGACCGAGGCAACTTGTCGGCGGCCCTTCGCTACGTGAACTTGCTGCAAGGCGCGCCCCGTGCCGCTGCTTTGTGCTGGGTGGAGGACGCGCGCCGCCACCTGGAGATCAGGCAGGCCGCCGAAACCGTCATGGCGCACGCGTCTCTCGCCAGCATCAACAGCAAGCAATAAGCCTATTGTAAGTAATTCGGTTTCTTGTACAGGCTTGTTCCGTTTCTTTAAACGTCTTTCACCACCAAGTGCACAGATATAAGATATTTCTGGCTGTATCAAGTTCAAAAAATTGGTAAAAAATTCCTTAATGTGCCCAATCCATTGGAAATTATGCGCCATAATTAATAAACATTATGTTTATAAAATAATTCATTTATCAAACAATTTTTATTTTGTGACAATAGACACTGTAAACTTATTTACATATATATATGTATAAACAGAAGTTTGATGTAAGTTACGTAATTCATATTTATCATTACTGTATGAATTATTACTTATTATTCTCGCATAGAGAAAAACAATAATGATATGTTGCTCTCGCGCAAGTCGCGCCCTGTCGAGCTAGCCATACTGAGTAGGACTAAGGTAGGAGAGAGGCTCTTTTCATACATGCCTATTTATTCTAAATTCTTTTGACCTGATCCTTCCTCGATTATGTTGTATTAGACCATACCACACTTGATCGTGTAAAATAAATTAAAACTAAAACGTTTTTATATATTTATTAATTTCATTATGATTATTTCTAATGGGACTGCGAGTGATTGTGATGTCTTAGTTATTATTTAAAAAAAACATCAATGAACGTTACACGACATTTCCATTATTGTTCAACGTATGGTGACACGTACGTACACCAAAATTGCAATAGAATGAAAATATAAATAATAATAATAAAAAGTACAATGACAACCCCGAACAGTAAGCTAATGTATAACAGGCGGCCTTACTGTTAAATAGCAATTTCTTCCAGGCAATTTTAGGATTGAAAAATTAGCCGATGCAATGAAACCCAAGAATATTTTTTTATAGTAGTATATTCTCAGTTCTCAAATAAACCCTACGTAAAGGGCTTGTCTTGTATATCACATACGTACATTAATTTCACGCCCTTTTCCCACAGGGGTAGACAGAGGCAACGTTATTTTGTAGAACACAGAGGAAGTGAAATGCGAAATAAATTATATCTTTACATTGGTGGTGATCGGCAATGGTTGAAGTGGGAAAAAGCCCGTTTCTAGAATTGTTGTAAGTAGCTTACGGAACTTAATGATATCGTTATATCTTTGTAAATTTTGACAGTTTTAGTAGTGATAACTGTCAATTACAATGTTTTCTAATCACATATTTACGGTAATAACCATGAATAGGTTTTGTTTTTGTTATTACATTGTGATATTGTTTTTGGATGTTTGAATGTTAAAATAATTTTTATTTTGTTGAAACACGAATCAATTTAAGCCTGCCATTTGTTCTGCTAACCACTTAAAGCGCAGTTTGAGAGACATAATTAATAGAAACAGATGTTAACACGGCAGCATTATGCTGGAAAGGTAGACTATTCTATGCCATATGTTAATTTGGTGGGAAGGGCACACAGTCAACCGATCATGTTGATGCCTTCTATGTACCGCTCAAACACTGACACTTAACTTAAATAATCATATTTTCACATTTTCTATAATTTTGATGAAATTACACATGGGAGGACTTATCAACATATGTATCAAGGTGGCGGGCGCAATGGCAGTTCGCCTCAGATTCAGCCTAAAACTCTGAGTGGCACTACAACTCTTATGGATAGGCGTGTCGCTTACCACCAGGCGCTTGAATTGTTCGCCCGTCGCTTGGTATGAAGAAAATAAAAATAAATTATACAACAAAAATACTCCTATTTTCTTATTTGATAAATATGTATTAGTAGAACATACTTTGCTTGTAATGTTATTGTATAAATATCAAATAGACGCTGGAAAGGTATAACGTCTAACGTGCATTTGGAAAATATTATAAGAGAGCGATTTAAAGTTTTTTTTTTAAGAAATACTCGAAATTTATGCTGAAACATTCTAGTTTTCCATATAACGAAAAGAGTTATGATTTTTTTTTTTAATAAAAATAACTTTAAATCTGTCTCCTGTAATATTTTCCAAATGCACGTTAGCCGTTTGACTTTTTCAGTGTCGAAATAATGTATACATAAGACAAAGCAACATTTCTGAATTTTGATAAAAGTAAAACCTTTCTCCTAATACACGGGGCTCACAATGCGTTGTTAACTTGTTTTAAGCCTTTTCCGTTCGTCCATATGGCTATTACTTTAAAGAATGAAATTGAAGTTATTTGATACACTGGTCAGGAAACTTCGCCATTATGGTGTGGCGGGACGTGATCTCGACCTTCTTAAATCGTATTTGCGTGGTAGGGTACAGAGGGTCGATGTTAAGGGTACGAGATCGTCAGGATCTGCATTAGCATGGGTGTCCCTCAAGGTTCAATTCTAGGCCCATTTTTATTTTTAGTTTATATTAATGACTTACCTAGCCTTATTGAGGGTATAAAACATGAGATAGTATTGTTTGCTGATGATACTTCCTTATTATTTAAAGTTAAAAGGCACCAATGTTCCTACGACGATGTGAACAATGCTATATCTAAAGTAGTTGATTGGTTTGCTGTTAATAACCTACTTCTTAATGAGAAAAAAACAAATTGTGTGAAATTTACATTACCCAATGTTAGAGAAACGGTTACAAACATTGTAGTTAGAAACGAAAAATTGAATCTTGTGGATACAGTTGTATTTCTAGGTATAACGTTAAATGCTAAATTGCAATGGGGTCCCCATATAAGTAAGTTATCAAAACGGCTCGGCTCTGCAGTGTACGCGATTAAAAAAATAAGGAAACTTTCAGACGTCGAAACCGCTAGATTGGTTTATTTCAGCTACTTTCACAGTCTAATGACATACGGCATTTTGCTTTGGGGTAATGCCGCCGATATCAATAGAATCTTTGTCCTGCAGAAACGTGCAGTTAGGGCAATTTACAATCTGGGCCCCAAAGTATCTTTGAGAGATAAGTTTAAGGAAATTAACATTCTTACACTAGCCTCACAATACATTTATGAAAATGTAATTTATGCTAAAAGGAATAGTAATTTATGAAAAATAGTGACAGACATAACATTAATACGAGGAATAGAAATAAACTAGCCTTTCTTGATAATCGTCTTCACAAAGTCAAAAAATCATTTAAGGGGCAATGTATACGCTTCTATAACAAGATTCCGGTTGATATACAAAATTTGCCTTTCACGAGGCTTAAAACTATTGTGAAACAAAAACTTTATACTAAAGGTTATTATACAACTTCTGCGTACTTGGATGACAAAAATCCGTGGTAGTAACCCGTTTAGCTCATGGAGGTAGCCTCGATCTCTGATGTTTCAAATAAAAAAAAAATATTGTAAATGTTATTTACAAAGAGCAACCCCTAGAGTTTCTTGCTCATTCTTCTCAGGGGAATCTGCCTTACGAATGAGCGGTAGAGTTTAACCATTGACGATTTCAAGTGTAATAATGCTTACCTATGAAATAAAGATAATTTTGAATTTGAATTTGAATTTTTTGAGAGGAATAACGTTCTTGAACTTGTGATTGGTTATGCGCGTGCCCCTCCCATCACCTGCAAATTTTTTAATAACTTATATTTAATGTGTGTAATAGTACTAGTATATAGTACTAATACATGTATGTACTTACGTACTTATACACTTACATATAGATATTAGAGTTACCTAAACATAGTCATTTGTTTATTTATTGTATAAAAATACAAATAACAAATCTAACAAATGAAAAATTAGTCGGGGTAGCTTATTATGAGCGGAACACTTGGTGACTTTTAGCTGCGATGCAAATGCGATGCAGTAGCTAATCGTTTACATTTACACACACGCGAGACACATAGGCGATTGCATCGATGCAAAAGCGCGATGGCATCGATGCAATCGGTAATAAATCACACGTGTAGCGATGCAATCGCGCGTTTGCATCGCTGCTAAAACTCGTGTGTAACCACTCGAAATCGCGTCTATTTGTTTTTTAAATAAATCAAACTAAAACGTGACAAATGACAAAATATTTTTTTGAGACATCATAAAAAGCCATAACCCAGTTTTAAATATTGAAATTGTTTAATGATATTTCAGCTATGCATCGTTTGTGTAAGTTCCGATAAGTGGAACTATCTAATGGAAATAACTAATTTTTACTGTTTTTAAAAGAGACTTTTGTGCTCTATCCTTTTGTTATTTAAAACAGATATTTGACCAATTGTCATTTAGCCGCTTTTTAGTTAGTTGACGGCAGTATAGTGGTAAATCATTATAGTTACTGTCTAGATCAGCCGTGACCATGTGACCTGTCAAAAACCTGATACGTTGTTGTTTGAAAAAACATAGGGTGGTGGTACCAATGATCGACATTTTAATGGACGCGTGTCTTTAAAAATGAAATAACTTTTTTGTTTTTAAACATACATCACCAGTGATTAGTTTACTTGACAGATATAATCCTTAAGAAAGATGGAGGATGTTTCATAAAAAAGCTATTATAATTATTACTAAAAAAATTGAAATTACAATTTCTCTAAATCTCCAGTAATGGACACCAAGAATCTACTAATTAGTCGACACTCATCAATAATGAACAACAATTAATTGATCTTAACAATAAAAAAAGTGTTACTACTCGTATGTTACAAATTCTGTTGTAATTGTTATTAGAAACGAATTTAAAAAAGATATCAGACACTAGAGCTTGGCGGTCACTGGCGCCACCACCCAATATGCGATTTCAATCCGAATGAATACTTTTATTTGCAATGTGTAGCAATCCCATGAACTAGGCACCCATTATGATGATTATTACTTAAAGTCTTAAGTTTTACGTAAAATTGTTTATATAAGAAACTTGATTGTATATAAATAATTACACAATGGCGTCGATTATGAAGTTCTAAGTTTTATACAGAAACTTATCTGACGTGCCTAAAATATTGTTATAGTATAATAAATAACACAAGTACTTACAATTCCACCTATTCGGCGCGTGAATGCCTACGCGTCGCTCGGAGCTTCGTAGGGTTGTCACATTATTTAGTTGTAAACATAACAAGGTTGTAAACATAATTTGAAAAAAGTTATTGATCACAGTATTCTCGTGCTACATATTATGGAAATAACATTTGTCAAATGCAGTACTTATATATTGATAGTTTTATACCAGTATCGTGGATCGCCATCTCGATCATGGGTATATGAGTATGAAATAGAGACGAAATACTGCACAATTAAAAATGTAAGGCACTCTTGTTCAAACAACCTTAAAAACAACGGTAAACATGTCTACTATTAAATTTAATGTTAGTTCTTAAACATCGAACAAACTTTTTAATTCTACGAGTATGACGAATGGCGCTTGTAACGTCTCGCGTTATGCAACTCGAGTGCACCGCGGTGCTGTACCGCATAATCTCGCGAGGTTATGCGAGTGTGAGCATCTGTGTGAGTTGCTATAAAACTTAGGCAAGGTTTGTTTGTATATTCATGCCATTTTTGCCTAGGTGAAGTCAAAGTTCGTTTTTTAAATCTCAGCCTTATTATGGACCACATTCATTATAGTTATAACACTATTAATGCAAATTAGCCAGAGATGGGCAAGCGCCCGGGTTTTAACACGGCGCTCTGTTAATGCGGTTTAAATCGTGTCAAAACCCATTTTTGCCCGAAATCGAGGGCAATAACTATTCACTGAATATTTATTGCAAATCGAGTTTTGTTGAAATTTAATGATATAATTGTTATTTATTATTAATTAATTCATTCATCCATCTCAGCCCGTTAACACCCACTGCCGGGTATAGGCCTCCTCTTTTGCACGCCAGCTCAATCCGTTCTGTGCGAGTCTCATCCACAATCTTCCAGCCACCCCGACGATGTCATCCGACCATCCATATTTATTATTACAAGATGTTTATTGTTTTCTTAACTGGACGACTCGATTTGTTTCAAAATCACATTGAAATAAATCGATACAAAAAATCGTTTGACCATATGCACTTGAATCTTTAGTGGTGAAAATCCACAGGATTGCAAGGCGGGTATTGTGTGGAGATGATTTTTTTTGGGCTTTAACGCACTGCCCATCTCTGAGATAGCTCATAAATATAACGTTGCCCTAAATAAAACATCCTTAATTTTATTATCGATTACGTGCAATCCCCTATACTAGGTTGAATTTATTGCGCTCCAGCCATTGCTTTGTTATTAACACTATTCATCTATCTCTTTCACTCTTTACAGAAATGCCGTGTGAGTGAAAACGACAGATGAACTGGTAGGTGACAAAGTATGTAATATCGTAAACGACTTATCGCACGACCGAGACGGAGACTTCGGCAAGAATCTTTTTCGCTATCAATAATAAAAAGTGTTCTTATTTTCCTTTTTGAGATTCTATTTTTCATGAAAACAAAATTACCTATGGGTAGACCATAGAAATTGTCTAACTGTAACTTCTGAATTTAACTTACTGTATGTATTTTAGTTTAGACAGAACGAAATTCGCTGGTTGAATTTTTGTGTTTATTGATTTTAGTTTTGCACATTAGTTAACTGCATTTAACTGTCGATTGATTAATTTGTACATTAAATATTTGCCAGGTCTAAATTAAAAACATTCTGTGGTAAAGACGAGCATGGTTACAGTTTAACTTTAGTAATTTATGTAAATAGGAACAATATTGTAAAATGTTATTTAAATTAAAGAATGATTTATAAATTCAGCGTTTTGTTTTATTATTTTTATTCGAAATGAAAGTATTTTTTTCGGATCTAAATCGCGCATATTTGTTTTGACTTACCATTAGCTGTAACTACGGTAAGTTTTCGCGCCGCCGCCGCCCCTGTTACCGCGCCTTCATTTCTATTTACTAGGCAACAACATTTAAATTCCTCTGAATAATACAACCGCTCGGTCGCCGCGCAGACGTGCGTAGAACAAATTCAAGCCAGTCTCGCCCGCGTGTTAAGCTAAAAGCTAAATAAATAGAGCTTATTTTGCCATGAGACGCACGCGGAAGCTTCGCGGTGGCCGCGCGGGGTGAGCGCGATGAAATTCGTATCGAACAAGCCGCCCTTATAGAGCCCGAAAGTTTGATTTGTTTGAAAAAAAAAAGTGTACGTAAGTAAGTACGCGATTTAGAACCGAAAAAACCAAAGATTACAGTTCCATTTCCGATGTGTGGCAATAGCGGAAACCTAAGATATGGTTATCGTTTTTAAGTTGAAATTTGTTTAAAGCATCTCCAGGATCATACACAGTAATAAATAATAATTAGTATAATTATATGATGATGATGATGAATAGATTCAGGCGTTACTTTGCGAAAGTCCATGTTAATAAAAATGGAAGAAAAATAAATAACACAAGCGAAACTACACTCCCCGATGCATCCTCAGGGGTTGTTGATTGCTCGACGCCCGAAGAATTAAAAATTAACTGCATGAAATAAATATTCAACACAAGCGCAGCTATTTTGCACGATTAACCTTGGGTTCGCGGAGTAGCAAATTAATTTACTTCCATTTGTAACAAACAATGACATTTGTAGGGTTACCAGTTTTCGTAAAATTTTAAATAGTGTCTTAGGGTCGTATTCCAGGACTCTACTCAATGCTCAAATCAGGACTTGAGTATGATTTAAAGCACTAGAAATCATACTCGAGTCCTTCCCATTAGGGTCGTATTTCCAGTGCTTGAAATCATTGAAACAGCTAATTGATGTACATTGTTGTCCATAGTGACGTGCAGTAAAATTTATGGAATGTAAAACAGAACCTTGTGCCTATAATAATCGCACTATTTACAACTGGCAGATAAGTTTGCTTTATGGTGCCTGAAAACAGATTTTTTCCATCCTCTAAGGAAAACAGCTAGGAGCCCTTTAATAGAAGAAAAATAAATCATTAGCCGTCAAAACGAAATCACAAAAAATTTAGGAAATTATTCATTATTACAATTCACAACCGTATTTTTGGTCTTAGGTTTAAAAAGGATACGTTAGAACGTTAAAATAATGTGCAATTGTTGGTTTACCAACAAATTATGATTAGAATCACCCGTTATGTGTTTACAAGGAGTTTATTGGTAAGTATTTCATATTTTCTTAACGTTACATTATCTTCATGCGTATCTACTTATTGAACCCCCTGTTCTCAGAGCGTTTCAGTACTACTAGGTACCGTCATATTCAGCTAATGGAATTCCCTATATAAAAACAGGTCGACGTTCAGTTAAGAATTCCAAGGAATGCAAACTGTAAGGCCTTAAGTGAAAAAGTTTGATCGCCTGGTACACTGCCCTGACTGCTTAGTTCGAAACAACAAAAGTTTATAAAATAAGCTAAATACGTAAACAGCAGTAATAAAATTTTTCGTCCCTCAGGGCATTCCAAGGCGTCTTTTTTCTTTTTCGCGGGATATCGTTATAATCTTTGCGATGGCATTTTGAAACTACACACAGCATCAACTCGGTGCTTTTAATTTTTTTGTTCTGTTCGCGTCCAAAACGGGACAGGGTCAAAGATCGTACCTACTGCTTCGTCTTCCGTGGTGAGTTAACAAATGTGATTCAGTCTGGTAAGTAAACGTGTATAGTAAAACTCCTTTCATCTTCTTCTTCATTAATAAACTTTAATAAACTTTTGAGAATTTTCTTTCTCCATGTTCGTCTTAGGTAAGTAAAATCCTGTAGTCAACGTCTTTAGATTCAATTCCAGTTAATTTAATTTGTTAGTCAATGATGTGATGACCTTGTAGGTCGTAGAAAGTTCACAAATCTCTTTCAAAAGTATGGTTATTGTACAAGTAGAAGATGGATGAGGATCCCGACGAGCTCGTAAAATTAAAAGACGATTTAAGTTGACTGTAATATATTGGTAATAGGTTGTTATTTACGGGAGTAGTGCCATTAATCGCTAAACAGTGGTGGTTTCTTATAGAAGTATAATTGAAAAGTGAACGTCCTTTTTGACCTTTTTGAGTTCATACAAAAAGTTCGTTAAATTGTGGTAGGGATGAAATAACATGTGTGTTGATTGGTTCACAATAGACGCCTACGTAATGTGCCCTTGACGAGATTTTAGTTACTGCTTTGAAAGTTATATTAAATTTTATTACAAAAATTCTGTTACGTTCGCAACATGCCCCGAACGTTGAGTGTTTTCAACAATAAAAACAAATAAGAAAATAGAAAACTATAGGAAGTGGAAATAGGTTGCTATATGCTCTCCTAATAACGCCTTTCTTGGTACGGATGTCGGCGACTCTGGCGACGTTATCCTTGCCCGGATACAGCTTCATGACTCGTCCCAGCAGTCACAGAAGCGGTGGAAGCCCGGGCTCTCTGATGAGAATGTCTGCTGACGTGCCATTTCTTATTCTGCTGGAGGAGAGTAACGTACTCATTAGCAAATAGATTCCAAAAATGTTGCTTGAGTTTTTCAACTCTTTGGAACCTCTCGAGTCGTGTAATATTTGCTTCAGTCAGTGATGGTTGTGAGACTCACAGAAGCCAGCGTCCAATAAGGAAATAAGAGGGTCAGAGGTAGGTGAGAACAGACGGATCAGCAGATAAGGGTGTTAGGGGTCTAGAATTAAGAATACCTTCTATATATATCAGGTATGTATTTATCTCTTCGTAAGTCAAATAAGTTAAAGTGAGAACTCGTCTTAAGTGATGTTTTACAAATTTTAACGGCAGCTTCCCAGAGCCCGCCAAAATGTGATGAATAAGCCGGAATAAACTTGAAATTAATATTTTGTTCTGCCATACCTGATTGCACGGAGTTACAGTGATTTTTTAAAAAGTTATCAAGCTCATTGGAAGCCCCGACAAGTTTAGTACGAGCCATAAACCGGCTGAGAGCAGCAAGAACGAGCTTTTCACGAGTTTAACCAAAGAAGCTTTTCTTTGGTTAAACTCATGACAAGCTCCACACGAAGAGCCTTAACTGAAAGACAGACAAAACATAATATATATAATTCAATTGTTTTACTTCCCCTACCCTTACGATCGGCTATCAGCACTGGCCCGTCATAATCGAACCCTGTGTGTAAAACAGGGTATTCTATGTAATTGTGTTCGATCTCTAGGTAAGTCGCCCATTATCATTTGAAAGGGTTTAGCCTTAAACCTAATGCATCGAATGCAATCGCCTACTATTTTTCGATCAAGGTTCCTAGAGGATAAAATTCTTGTTCGTAGGCTTGAAAGCAGTAGGTGGGGTGGGGCGTGCAACAAAGCTATGTGTTGTGTAGCGAAAATTAATTTTGTCAAATGATGCAAGCATGGCAAGCCACACACTAAAATTGGGTGCTTAACGTCATAACTATAATAAGAATTTTTAAGACGACCCGTATTCAATTATGTGAATCTAAAAATGGTGTTAACGAAAGCAATCGACTTTTCGAAGATAAGGGTTTGCTTGACGAAAGCATATTATAATCTTCAGGAAACATTTCCTTTTGTGCTAAGTATAGCAATTTATTTTTACATGTTTTTATTTCTGTAAGTTAAATTGGACGTGATTTTATGAATTTTATTTTTGCAATTTTGTAAAAATCAGTTACTGCTTTAAAAGTTATATTAAATTTTATTACAAAAATTCTGTTGCGCTCGCAACAGTTATACTACGCCATATAACTTTTTTTTATAACCTAAATAATGCCCATTCACCCTAGCTTGGAAAAGGTCCAATGCGCAATGTATAGGTTCAGAGAATATATGTATCTGCAGGCACGGAATTTCACTCCATAGCTGTTCGATATATAAATGTGGAAGCGTAACGCTTCGTGCGAATCTTTGGAATATCCACAACATAGGGATGAAACCCAAGCCTACATCTAGTCCCCCGGCGATGGAAAGGGGAAGGCGGAAATTAAATGGAAATTAAATTCCATCGCATACTCTCCGTTATATATATCCTGTAAAATACCGATACGCAGGTAACTTTACGGCGGTATTCAAGGTTGGAGCTTCGCCTCGACTAATTCCGAGTCATTTATAAGCCTCTTGGCACGATTGTCAATTGACCAGTGGGACGCGTAAGTACGACAGGCAGGTGTGTAATTTATATTAAGTATGCGAAGTATTGACAACAATTAAATTGTCATATGCATACATATATATATTTTACGCAATGTGTGAAGAATTGAACAGACTTATGACAGATTTATTAAACGACAAACCAGGTTACTAAAGTGATACATCGACAATTGTACCATAGACCCTTATCAGTAATAGTAAAGAAAACGCGCGTGAGTTCTTGTATCTATAACTTTGTTTACAGCTCCAGCGTAATCCAGTATTATACCGCATCCTACGTAGTTCACAAAAACCTTGCACGCCACCATCGCCAGCCGTCCGTGTAAGCGTTACGCATCCCGACCCTGAGCGAGATAACTGCAAGCCTCCTGTGCCAGTTCGAATAAAACTTTCCCACGAGCCTGAACGAGAGACCTGCACCCCGCCGCCGCCGCCTCCCCCTCCTCCAAAAGACGATAAGTGGATATGGCTTTCCTTAGCAGCCATGATTATCACAGGCGGCTTCGTTGTTTATGCCAAGTGAGTAAAGGTGGCATACGAAATAGGATTGTTGTCGATCAGACGCTGATAACTAAAAAAAAATGAAGGGGGTGACTGGAAACCAGCGCTGCGACTGTCCTGAACAGGAGCAGCACCAGCTGAGACACCCCTTTTGCCTCCTGTTAATATAAAAACCAAAATTTCTAATTCCAAAAAATATTTACTTAGTATCTTCAGTGTAGTTGTTTTTTTTTAAAGTTCCTTTGTAATTTTTATTTTGGAGGCAATAAAGAGGATTTTGTTTTATATTATTATTTATAATATTTAATTTCTCTATCGCAGCGGCGATTGTCGAATATCCGGCTAGAGAAAAGGTCTTGGCCATACTTATATCGTTTATTGGGTATATTATTTGCACGCGGTCGTGCAATATCGATCCGGACCATAAACTTCGTTAATTTATATACGAAATAATAGATGTACCTACACGTGAATACAGGACCATTTACAGGGTTATTTGTAAATTACTAACAACTGCACACGGCGGGCAACGTTATTTTCACCTCTCTGAGCGCGTGCGTTGGTGTCTTTTTCCTTGTAGTTAGCGCCTGATGTCATTAGTCAGATTTTGTAGGCTATGCTAGTATAGCGGCAATGTTTTCAATTTTGCATGTGAGAGATATATCTGTTACGTAGTAACTATTAAATCTGTGGCTGTATTACTAACACCATAAACAACAACTTTTGGTGTAAGTATGATTTAACTGCCTCAGTGGCCGAACTGTTACCATGCTGAACTACCACGCAGAGGTCCCAGGTTCGATTCCCGGGCCTGAAGAAATATTTGTATGGCCTACATTTATTACTCTCGTGAGTTTGGGTGTAATTTGTGATTGTCTATCTATGTGTCCATGGCACCCGCGATACAGGGTTTGCCTAGTGGGGGGCTATGTTGAGTGTGTGCGTTATTATAATAGTATTTTTTACAAAACGTAGTTTCACCAAAAATAAACTAAGTTTTTTTGTACTATTCTGACATCTTATATTTGGTAGTAAGGTAAGTGCCAACGTAAAAGCGACCTCCCCGACGACTCCCGCCCCAGCTCCCGCGTTTTGCATTGGGCTGGTATTTACATTAGCGCCTTTGTTACCGCCCAGAGTTACCACTAGAAAGAAGAAAGTATAATCTGATGAATTATTAAAAATCATGGAACAAAAGTTGTTGTTAATGATGTTAATGATATTGCCCTGCGAGTTTGTTGGTATTTAGTGCCAATGGAATTTAATGCCCATCAGTGCATTAGATTCCATTCAGCTTCAGCAAACTTCAACATTTCGACTCTACTCCGTTTTTATAACAGTTTTTAAAAGAATCTAGGTGTATTTAGGAAAATTTGTATTGAATTGATATTCAATTACTTTTTGTGAAATTACTCCACTAGCTTCTTATAATTATTAATACAAAGATATATTCGTTCGTTCCGTGGATAAGTTGGCATAGCTTCTGCCACGGTTTGCTAGAAGACGTCGGTTCGAACCCGGCCGGATTGAAGGAATTTTTTGTAAGTGTTCGATCTTTGTTTTAATAATTATAACTAAGTAGTGCAGTAATTTCACAAAAAAATAATTGAATATCAATTCAACACAAATTTAAATACAGTTAATAGCGACAGGTCTAGCCAGGGCTGGCAGCTGTAAAGTTACCTCGCTGGGTGACGAAATACTTTCATAGATTGCTCATAAATGGTGCTACAGCTAAAAAGTCGTTGAAAAACCAAAATACAAAGATCCAACAATAAGCACATATAGCAATTGGTGAGGCCCGCTGGTAAGTTGCGTGGCTTAGTTGGCATAGCGTCTGGCACGTTTTGCTAGAAGACGTCGGTTCGAATCCGGACGGATCGAAGGATTTTTATCTAAATCTAGGTGTAATTTATGTTCCGTATCTAATTTCCGCTAAGTCGAGTTATTGAATATTCCTTGCTAGACAAATACAATTTTTAATTTTGACAGAAACAATGCAGAAGTGCGCGATTGGTTAACGATATACGCCCCATGGTTCGATGATTTAATAGCGGTAGCGTACCGGGAAAACATGGACTACATGCAGTATGCCGTGTGCTGGTTTGACACCATCTCGTCCTGGTTGACTGAGACCCAACCTAAACCCCAAGAGTGCAAGTTGGAGGGAGAGGGTAAGTACTATTTCTACAAAGGAACCCAGTGTCTCGTGCAGAAAAAATGCCTGTTAAGCAAGGAAATTTGACCAACTTCATCGGTCCTGATTTTTTCGGTCCGTATAATGATCAGCACTAAAATAATTTTTATAAATTTTATGAACAGCTCACGCTTGACTAAAAAATTGACTTTACCAAAATTGTTTTCACAAAAAAGCCTTAATGGTTCTTATGGCTAACCTCAGAGCTCAGGTCTAATGGACAATCGAGTAAATGTTTTCGGGCAATTAATGTTTGTTCAAACGGCATTCGGTCTTAAGCAGGGAACCCGCCGCGTGTACCTATGTCGTAACATAAAATAAACATGAGAAGAGATTTCGGGAAGGGTACAATTGTTTGTTATTTTCAGTATCACCTCCTCCTCCTGCGCCGCCTCGTCCCCCTCCTCCTGAAGATCCGTGTAAAAAAGGAGGTAAATAAATTCGCACACACAACATAGATCATGCACGAAACCAAAATTAATTTTGCCAAAGAAGCTATTTAGGATGATCCACCAATACAAACGATTAAAACGTAAAACGTGAAAATGCCAAATTACAGCGATATACCTTGTAAAAATTGGAGTGAAAACAATTTTATTACGGCTATTTGCATTTTTAGTTACTATTTCTATTATTATTCAATGTTTTCTTTTTGTCTCTATAGAAATTTCTAGACTCAAATATAGTGATGATCATTTACGATTATTGATGTTTATCGACAATTAATTTTTAAATTCAAATTCATTTATTCGCTTTGAATAGAGTACGGTACATTGTAAATGTTTACTGAAATGTTTCAATTTCTTACTATGATTTTTCTAATTAAAGGCCCTAAAATGTCGAAGCGAAAAGCATACACGTTAAATTGACTTCTTTTATTTTATTATTGTTATTATTACTAAACATTTTATTTTGAGTAACTTTAACTAACTCATATTTCGGACAGCCGTTTCAATTTCATGTCAATTTGTATATTGCTGTAGCTTGAAGAAAAAATTATATATATTTGTTTTAGATAATTTAGATGTTTAAATTCCATTATACTCGTAGATTTTATAATTTTTACGTTTTTCGAATGAGTTCAAAATAAAAGAAGTGGATTGCAGCTGCAGGAAAATCAAAAGATTGGTTTTCTTATTATTATTACTGACTTTGTTTAAATTTCAATAGCTTCATCAAAAATTCCATAAATTTAAAATCGGCTTTATTTTACATGTGCATGCAAAATAAATGAGAAACAATGATACAAAATTACATTAAATCCTTCATAGATCCTTCATAAAAATACAACAATTTTATATGTTAAATTCGAGTTTACGCTTGACAATGACAGGTTCACCAATCCAAGGTAACGTTTAATGGAAAACTGACACTGGTGACGATCGCCATAATTTTTATATTATTCTTATAAAATTGACACTGGCCCAAGTCTAGCGGCCGGCTTTAAGGATGTAATAATAATTTATATTAATATATTAATTTAATGACACACTAGTACCAGTGCAGGTATAGTATCAAAAATTGAATATTTTTTTACTATCAAAAACAGCCACATGGTTTCTGACTTTCGATTAGGTAGGACCACAGCCTTCGTTGAGTAGCGTCGGTTTAAGATTAATAAGGTTAACAATTCACGGAGAAGTTTCCATCCGCATCCGCCGGTGCTGCGGGACAGCGGTTTTATTTCAATACTCACGGTATAACATTCTATCTTTACATCCTCACACCACATTTGCTGAATAAACGTAAAAGCCAAATTCTAATTTCATCTGCCGAGTATTTTCTGAACATTCAGTAAAAGATGACGATAATGAAGAAGAGGTAGACGAAGTGGCTCCGTGCATCAGACCTCCCGTCAAGTTCACCGACATTTGTATTCTCGAGAACTGCATGAAGGATCTTGCCGAGACTGCTATAAACAACTATATGACTGCTAGGGATGCTTGCCGATTCTATAACGAGGTAATAAGATATTTGAAAGCTAAAAATGATTTTTCCTTCGCAAAACGGCCTGTCATAAAAAAATATCCGATCACAAAAATAAATAATTAATGTTGTTACATTTCAATTTAAAAAAAGGTGGCGAAAGGTATTATTTTATTTGTACAAATTCCAAAACTCGTCTATCTTCTATCCTTCGTGATATTGGGAACGTATACCCATTCAAAACCACCAGGCAAGAGACTCACCGACGTAATATAATATTTAAAAAAAACGAAATTGCGGTATTGAAAATTTAAAGGAAATTTGTAGTCCATGAGTAATATCTTTTCCGTTTTTCGGTAGTTTGTGAACGAGGTACTAAATGAGAAATACTGTCCGAAATCAGCAAAAATTTTGGACTCCGAGATGTTTAACAGAAATTGTCTAGTCAAGACATCACTTGAAGCAGCCGAAAAGGCCCTTTTGTCTCTAGGTAAATGTAAAAATCTTATATATATTATTTATCGTATCAGTGGCCTGCTACTTCTGTGCTATACTTTATTACTCTAGAGCAAAGGTTCCCATACTTTTTTGTCTCGCAAACCACGTGTCAATTTTTTGTGTTTTTCGTAGATCCTTTGCCTTTGTAACATGGAATTTTTACAAACTTCAAATGCATTTTGACAGTTAACACAGAGCTTTAATAAGTTTACTTGTACAGAAACAAACTTTAAAAATAAAAAAACCATCGTTTCTACTAAACTAAGGGGGCCTCGGAAGCCTTTGAGGGGCGTTGATGCTATCTTCATTTGGAAAAAAGAACCTAAATTATCTATATTACCTTAACTACATACAAAAATACGTGCTTTCAATTATTTTTAAGAAGGTGGGCGTTGAATTTTTTTAATCTTGCCTAAGTGGGCTGTGACTAAAAAAATTTGGGAATATAATATGTTCTAACCGAATGTAGCGCCACATTTCGTTGTGTAATATTTATGTCATAAGTAATTTAAATGTTTATTATATATAACTTATGAGGGTGAACATGTACATATCAGAACTTTGGGAATCATCACTCTAAAGTCCCTGTGCAAAGAATTAGCGTATCTATATACCGGACGGTGTATGAGTTTATAGTATTCAAGATGCTGCTAACACAAATATTTGTAAGCTCTAACCTAACGCAATGTAGGTAAATGATTATTGCATAAATTATCCTACACTTCGAGTTTTAGCAAAAGATAGTCGCCTGATATTGACTTTGCACAGCGTCGCCGTCGTCTTTATCATTCGCACCTGTGTGACAATTTGTACGGAATGAACCAGCAAGCCTGATTTTTTATACGTGTTTGTTGCAGATCTTTGTTTTCGGTCATTAACCACTTTATGACTGTGAGAAATCTATGAAAGTATTATTATTATGAAGTAGTACAGGGTTAAGAGCCCTTTTATGGAGATTTATATTCAATACTTTGCTGCATGTGATAAGAACGGTGTACCTAAAGAGTCAAGCTTGATGTGGTCTTGACTGAAAAATACCGTTGAAATTACGGTTTATTTTTATTTATTCACAAATTCTCGCATTTTACTTGCAGACGATGTATCTCGTTATTTAGAGTGCGGATGTCAACTGCCAAAAAACGAGGTCCAATCTTCGAAACAAATGCTGCAAGAGTTTAAAGACAAAATAAGTGTTATCCGCGCTGAGTTCATTTGGGACAACGACAGAGCCCTTGCTGAGGATGAGCATTGGCAAAAAGTATGTACACTCATGGAAATATTTAGAGAAACACTAGAGAAAAGTTGAATTATGATAACAATGTTCATATGAATCACTTTCCTCACATCCCAGAACATTTCATTTGAAAAAATAATGACCAACTTCTTTTGATTTCGATTAAAGGATGATTAGACACATTAGACCGCGCCGGGCGCGAGCCGTGTCGAGTCATCCGAGCTTCAGACGTGCCGCACGATCTTAAATTAGACTAAATCAGTCAGTAGGACGGCGGTTTACGTAACATATGGTATAGCGTGGTGTTATACCATATTATAAACGTGTGGGTAATTTCTTACGCACTCAATTTTTCATCATACATTTTTTTAAAAGAACATAATCACTCTCTTTAAAGCCGCACACTCGGACGGAGCGCGTACGACGCACTGGAGTGTTCACTTTGTAATGTAGCATATTCCCGGGGTTCGGTCGGGACAAGCACACTATTATTTACCTACAGGAATTTATCCAAGTTTCTAAAACTAACGAAGGAAACCAACACCAAGTTTTAACATTGATCGGTTAATAATATAATAAAATAATAAATGCACCTCTTAAGTATACTAGAACTACATGAACCACGCGGGGTTACTACGCTAACTAATCTAGTGACGGCGGTGAGCTAAAGGGTAGGTTTACGGGGTTGAAGGGTGAACAATTCGCACGGCCTAGACACAACTTGGGCACGCGCAGCAATTGTTCCCCCAACACAGGAGGCGGACAGGGGTGAAGGGCGAGCGAATCGTACAGCTTGGACACACCTTGGTCACGCGCTGCAATTACTCTTCAACAGCCCCTCACCCGGTGGTGGTTGATACCGTAGCAAGCTCCTCCAACGAGTGTATCGCTCGCTCCGGCTGACGGCCTTTTATAGTATCGTTTCCGCTCACGGCGCGCGTCGCTCGCGCCGTCATCAGTCAGCGGAACTTTTCATGACGCACGATCGGCGTCCTTAAACGTTCTGGTATATGTTGCCAGTTCATATGAACGTTCTTATCATAATTCAACCTTTTCTAGCGTTCCGCTAAATATATCCATGAGTATAGTTCGCAATATTTTTAGTTATACAAAGGTGTTGGGACGTCTGAAATTCTATTAGGGTGATTCTGCTTCTATAAACTCTCGAGTACTAAGTCATATTTTGTTTGTTTGCACCAAGACGTGTCTGAATATTGAGAGAGGATTTTATGTTGGCACGTGTGTTTTTTAAGTTGTTAATATCGATTTGTAATAATGCTAACAGGTACTAAAATACATGGATCAATACGCGGAAGAAATTTCGAGCATTTTCCCTGATGTCAACGATGATGCACGAAAGACGAATACGTACGGCAATATTGATATATTCCTGAACCACACTCACAAATATGTAAGTTTACTATTTTAAGTAGTCACCGCTGCGGAATCTTATGATTAAGGATCACGAACTGGTTCGAAACATGTCAAGCAAAACTCCGACTTGTATACGTGCGTTATCATCCGTTAGTAAATGTTTACTATTGTACTCGTAATAATTCTGATTTATTGATACTATTGAATTTGTTCATGGATGCAGATTTGCACGAATTCGAGTCTTGCCCGATGCACTCACTGTTGGGTATAGTCATTGAGTATATAACCAGAAATAGAGACGAAATGTCATTTAATTTGTTTGAAAACTATTCTTCCATATCATTCCGGTGACAATTGCGCTTCTATTCGCCAGCCCGAATTAGAAACAAATAACGATACCCGTTCACTTCAAATCGACCAGTTTAAGTTGAGGTTTGCTATAATGGACGAAAATTTAAAAATTACATATTTATTTTTAATTACCGATGAAATGTGATTCAGTTAATTTTGTAATTAGATGTTCTGCTGTTTTTCTGACACTACCGAATGGAACAGTCCCCCATAGTTAGAGATATTATCTTTATTACAACAAATACAGAATATTTTTGAAATATACGAAGACGTACATACGGGTTAGTTGTTGGCGCTGTACGGATACTGTATGGATGGCCCTTATTTCGTCTCTATTTCTGGTTATATACCCGATGGGTATAGTCCTCTCGTAGTTTGTGCTATCTCCAACGATTCTGTGCTGGACTCACCCATCTACGGCCTGCAACTTTGACGATGTTGTCCACTCATCTCGCTATAGGTCGTTCCACGTTATTATTACCATTTTTTGGCCACCATTGGATTATCACTTTACTCCATCTGTCCTCATCAGGCTTCACAATGTGTTCTCAGCTTCATGTATGTATGTATTTTACAACATACTATCTGACTCTGTTGAATTCTTCCCATCCATTCTTTTTAGGTTGTTGATACATCCGATTGTAGGGTGTCCCACGTCACATTTTCCGCTACCGTAACTCATCATCAGTTTACACGCATCCACTGCCCTTGAGCACGCTAACTCTCCCGATCTTGTGCCAAACGCATCCAGCCACTGCCGGCCACTTTGCTCAGGTCGTCTGTCCGTCTTGTCCTACTCTACGGATTCCTTGACGTGGTCGCCATTCCAGAAGAAGTCTCCTCCATCAGCGATCAATCCTCCTGCAGACATGCCCGGCCCACTGCCACTTAAGATTGCTGATTTTGCGAGCTATATATATAATTACTTTAGTTCTTTGACGTATGACCTCGTTAGGGATTCGGTCCATCAGAGAAACCCCAAGCATATCTCCGTACCGTAACGCAACTAAGAGTGAATTCGGACTATACTGTCGGAACGAAAAAATTTTTTCGTTATGAGTGCAGAATATGCCAGGGATTTTATGGTGTCATTGTTACTGGATTAACGCTGGGAAACTTTTGGCTTACTTCCCGTATGTAAGTTTGCTTTTGCAGATATAAAATAGGTGTTACGCGAAACATCTCTTGAGATTGTCGTGTACAGTAGGTATAATAAGTAAGGAAATTACGGAGTTTACCCAGTTTTTTTTTTAATTGCGGAATCGGCGTGGGATTAGCCAATAAGACGGACAATTAGACAAAAAATCGGTGCGGTGAGTACCAGTGAGTACGGTGAGTGCGGTGAGGAATAGAGAGCTTAAGATCGAAATACGCATACGGGTCGAGCGGTTTGAAATTGAAGTGAACATCTAAGATAATCAATCAGGTGGAAAAAAGAGTGGTTAAAAATCTAAGGACCTGTGATCACGGATGTGAAGCCAATTTAGTCGACGACGACGAAAAGATGAGATGTGGTCATAATTCTGCAGACCAAAAATAAATCTAACGCAGTTGTAAAGAGGACGATCTAATCTGTTCAAAGAGACTTGAGAGATGTTACTGTAACATACGTCAGCATAATCAATCACAGGCAATACTAGAGTTTGAACAAGGAGAGTTTTGGTTTTAATGGGAAGAAAGTTCTTAAACCTGTATAGAGCTCTTAGGGTCGTATTCTAGAACTCTACTCAATGCTCAAGTCAGGATTTGAGTATGGTTTAAAGCACTCGAAATCATACTCAAGTCCCTTCCATTAGGGTCTTATTTCCAGTGCTTGAAATCATACTCAGATCCTGACTTGAGCATTGAGTAGAGTTCTGGAATACGATCCTTAGTGTGTCTCTACACAGCTTTAAGAACCCTGCGACAAATGTCAGATACCTGGGGATCCCGTGTAAGACTTGTGTCAATAAGCCCCAGATTTGAATGTTATATAAAACAAGACTTATATGAAGTTAAATTGGTCCAAATAAAAATTACATTAAATGAACGGTATTTGTTTTGAAATTAGTTTATTTAATTTTCGTATAAGTGGGTGTGCCCCTTCCGGATTGTAGAAGCCATTTGACCCTTGAGAAGTGCTTAATAGATTCAGGCGTTGCTTTGCGGAAGTCCATGTTAATAAAAATGGAAGTAAATTAATTTGCTACTCCGCGAATCCAGTGAAGGTTAAATCGTGCAAAATAGCTGCGCAAGTGTTGAATATTTTTTCATGCAGTTAATTTTTCCACCTTCCCTCCGCATAAAAAATAACACAAGCGCAACTACAGTCACAAACACCACCACCAAATATACTCGACACATGTTTCGCCTCTCCACGAGGTATCCTCAAGGGCTGTTGATTGCTCGACCCTCGGCCGAAGAATGAGCTCGTTCAAAGGGTTGGTATATTTACATCCTGCTACCCCCAGTGTTACTATTGTTGAAACTCGAAAATACCCGTAATAAAGGTGATGATGCAAAGTTCATTTATTATACAACCCCCTGTTGTACCAAATTATTTCCATCTGTTCTAAAACACCCAGACGTAGTCCTTTTTCGCAAAAATATAAGGTTGCATCTGGTAAAATCATATTACCTTATAAGTGCATCTGATTGTGTCGCTAAACAGGAACCGTCCGATACTGCGTCTTTCGCTATTTGAAGATGTTTCTTCTCGTCGTCGGTTGCCTAGAAAGCATTTCGAACAATGAAAATGATATTCTGGTTTCAGGTCGAAAATTTACAATCAAACTTAAAAGAATCTTTACAGGATATGGGCCTACGTATCGACAGAGCTGTGAATAGTACGTAATAATACGTTATACTTCCATTCACATATTAAAGATTATTTAATTTTTTAAATCTTCCTTTAATTTTAGGACTTTTGTTCCAGAGAACATGCCAGTCCTATCTTAACCTTATTCTAATTGTCATGCAATTTACCGTAAAAATTGTTTTTTTTATATATTTAATATTAAGTGCCAGATTTAATATTAAACTAACACGTATTACTTGGCTTGAATGTTAAATTTTAAGTTAATTTATAATTCGTTTTATGTTTTAGGTTTAAGCAGCAAGGATGTACAGAAATGTCTCCAATCAGAGATCACCAAGAAAAAACATGAATTAGCAACGGAATATACAAACAGGGTATGTAGTTTAATTATTCGTTAATCAATTCTAAAACTGAATTTGGTACGCATGTTTGCGTGAAGAGGTTTTAATAATTACCTACAACTTTTTTATTAAAGAAAACCGACTTCAAAAGTTCGTGGAATTACGTCAATTTGCCAAGTTTTATTGAAATCGGTTACCGGAAAGGGCACAAAATCGGATGCATCCCCTAGTTTGCCACTCTAAGGGTCGTATTCTAGAACTCTATTCAATGCTCAAGTCAGGATTGCACTGGCAACACAAGCACTGGAAATACGACTCACGAGGCAGGGACTTGAGTATGATTTCGAGTGCTTTGAATCATGCTCAAGTCCTGACTTGAGCATTGAATAGAGTTCTAGAATACGACCCTTAGAGGTGGAATATTTTCTTCAAATTTAAACGGGACTAAAACTGACGTACTCTTTTTTCAACAAAAAAGAATCACCAAAATCGGTTCACATAATATGCCGAATAATCGTATACAAAAAATATGCACATACACACAAAAAATGCAGTCGAATTGAGAACCTCCTCCTTCTTAGAAGTCGGGTGAAAAGGCTAATTTTATTAAGTTGTTATGTTTTTCTACTTCATTATATTGATTAATTGTATTAAGACTTAACATTAGTACGTCATGTGACGCATGAGTCTCTATAGTGCGCTACACTATTCCAAAGACCGCTACAGATGATGTAGCGCCGTGGACCATTTATTGGAGGCCATATTAGTACGTCATATCGATATGACCAATAAGAATTGTTTGTACTGGTGGACACATTTAACCAGTATTAATACACCTTTGACGGCCTCCGTGGTCTAGTGGCTTGCACACCGGTTTTCATGGTGTCGCCATCTCTGAGGTCCCGGGTTCCATCCCCGGCCGGGTCAGTGTAGAAACTAACTTTTCTTAATTGTCTCGGGTCTGGGTGTTTGTGGTACTGTCGTTGTTTCCGATTTCCATAACACAAGTGCTTTAGCTACTTTCGGATCAGAGCAACATACGTGGGGCGCACTATAAGTTTCCGGAATTAATAAGAAAAAAATACTATAAATGGTCAGAAATGAATTTATTGTTTCTCAAAATATTCTCCGTTAGCGTTAATGCACTTTTTCATACGAGTGAACCAATTTTGAAAACATTTATGCCACTCCTCCGTGACAATCTCTGAAACATATTTTTCATACTCTTCGACAACCTCTTCAGGTGATGAAAATCGTGGACCGCGTAACTGGTTTTTAATTTTTGGAAATAAATAAAAGTCACAAGGTGCCAGGTCGGGACTGTACGCGGGATGGCTCATAAAGTCAAAGTTGTTCACCTTCGAAAATTCATGCGTCTGTCTGGCCTTGTGAGAACTGGCATTATCGTGGTGCAAGATGATACGGCGTTTATGGTTATTTTTACGAAGTTTGTCAATAACTTCCGGCAAACAAATGGTCGTGTGTCAATCAGTATTCACGGTGCAACAATTCTCCAAAGCAACATTAGCCACGTGTCCAGTTTTATTAAAAAAAGAAGCAATAATTCGCTTAGAGGCATTTTGCACGCGCGCCACTTTGGTTGGTTTCGGCTCATCTCGAAAGACCCATACGCTCGATTGCTGCTTTGTTTTGGGATCGTAACTATAAATCCATATTTCGTCACCTATTACCACACCAGATTTGACGCTCCTTCATTGAATTTGGCTTACCAGATTGCACCAAGTGACGCGATCCGTTTTTTGAGCCTCAGTCAAATTGTGTGGGATCCACCGAGAGCACAGCTTTTCACACCCAAATGTTTGTGTAGTATTGATTGTATTTGACTCATGACTATGCCTAAAGATGCCCGAATCTCATGGTATGTCACATGCCTGTCTGTTTTGATCGTACGGCGCACAGCATCGATGTTTTTGTTGTTCACAGCAGTGGAAGGCGACCATCACGAAATTCGTCACTGAGGTTCACACGACCGCGTTTGAATTCTGCAAACCAGCTATAAATAGTCGTCTTGCATGGTGCATTATTGCCATAAGCAGTTTGAAGCCGAGCGAAGCTCCGCTGAGCTGTTAAATTGAACTTAAAGTCGTAAAAATCATACTACGAAAAATTTCACGAGTTAAATCCATGGTGATGTAGAGAACCAATTTCTAAAATAATGCCACAATGTAAAAACAAGTGACAGTCAAATGAAACAAACTGTATTCTACATCCAAAAAGTTCCATTTTCAAATGTTGTAATTACTTTTTAAATATTGTTTATGTAAGTGGCCAGTTCCGGAAACTTATAGTACATGGTGGCCTATTACAAGCTAGAAACATCATTATCATTACAGAATTTTGTTTCTCCGAAAACCTTTAGATTTTTATTGAATAGATGTTGTTTCATTTGTCCGAAAACACGTTACGGTTTTTTTCATTAATGTTTCACTATTTTGACATACTGATAAGTTATTCTTTTCCCATTTTTATTTCCCCAACAAACCGTTTGACCAACAATGTATCTAATTGAATATTTTTATTTTGTAAAAAAACGATATCCATGATACATTTTTGTTATATTATTTCTTATAACAGATATAACAGATATTAGAACGTATCGCACAATACAAGTCGTCAAATTAAAGCACCTCGTATGTTTAGAAAATATGTTAAACGAGATGCAAGTCAATTTGATCGAGTGGTAGTCGCTCGCTTCGCTCGTTCGGATCGTGCCGCTTTTTCATATACTAACCTAACCTAAACCTACAGGAGGGGTCGTACCGTTTAGGTAATGCAAACAAATTCGGCTGTGGCACTCGCAGGCCGCTGCCGCGACACGCTCGCTTCACTCGCTCGGCTCGTGCGGCCTTTTCTTATACTAACCTAACCTAAACCCACTAGCTAGCTAGCTAGGGAATGCAAACAAAGTCGGTTCTGGTACTTTCCTTGATTCAGTTATAAGTTATTTATTGAATACCCAAGACCATTGTTTTTAAATTACATTTCTGATGACAGCAAAAACATAGCATAATGGTATGACGCAAATTACGTAAGTGGCTTGCTGTGCACCAGCAAATTACAGTTCAGAATTTTGGAGCTGTACGGTAAAATTGTATGGCGGTAGAATTTTATATTAGAATAATAATTTTGTCGAAACGAATTTTCAGCAATCTAAATTATATGGAAAACAGACAGTGTAACAAACATGATTAGACCAAATAAATTTCTGCCCAAAGAATACGTATGTGTGATAATTGTTCTAATAATAGGTTTTCGGACAAACGATGTGTTGTTGTTGTTCTGTGTTGCAAATTTATACCAAAACTGTCATCGCACTAATGGAAAAAAGTCGAACCGTTTTCGAAGTAATGAAATTCGGAAAAAAGAAATTCGAGTTTGTGATAGGTTACCGCGCCCTATGTATGTGATGTTGTATAATATTTATATTTTTACCTGTAGGCAAATTTGCTTGGCGTAAATTATGACGTACATCACCTGTAAACATAACAGTATCTACAGTCAGTATCATATTTATTTGCAAATTTTAGAACCTTATAGCTTTAACATCATCCATTATCCAAAAATATAAATTATCAAAGTGAAAAGGTATTAAAAGTGCAGTATGACATGCAGCCGTAGCCATACTTTTCATAAGAAGTACTTGACGTAGGAAATAAAACTATTTTTCCGGATTTAAATCGCGTATATTTGTTTTTTTTTAAACAAACCGACGTTTCAAGCCCTTTACAGGTCCCATGGTCACGGTTGACTGTCAACCGTGACCATGACCGTGACAAAAAAAATAGTTTCATTTCCTATGTGTAACAATCGCGAAAACCTAAGAACTCGATAAGTATTTGACGTATTAATGATTTCGTTAGACCTTTAAATAGCAAATTTCATCAGTACCAGTTGCGCGGTAAATTCTGGCAATATATTGCCACAATTTATCGCGTTGTGTGATATGACCTTGGGTTGACCAATCAGGAACTGCGACTGTAGGTCCTGATTGGTCAACTCAAGGCTATATCGTGCAACGCGTTAAATTGCGGCAATGTATTGCCACAATTTGTGCCTTGTGAATAACGCTTTACCCTCCAAAACCGGAATGCAGTAATGTGAGCATTACTGCTTGGTGGCAGAAATAGGCAAGGAGGCAGTACTTCCCAGGACAACTCTTTCACAAGGAGCTCTACTAAAAACCTCCATTCATTCCTAAATATGATTTTCATTACAATTGTAGATTAATGGTTTAAAAGCCAAACTAGATAAAGAGACGCAAGATTCATTGAAGGCCTTAAAGGAGCATCAGGAAAAAGAAGCCGAAAAGAAGGCAATAGCAAAGGAGAAAGAGGTAGTGCATTTTTCGTCTAAAAGCTTGGCAAGATTGGGGTATGAATTTGACTTTTGTTATTTTTTTTATTTATGTAAAGAATTTATTTATACTTCGTTTCAATCCATTTTAGACAAAAAGTAAACAAACAAGTCACTTACCTGACCATAGACGGTTTAGTGATGTCCACTTGTGATGCAAACTAAAAATCGATTAATTAATTGAATGAATCGATTTTTTCGAGTCATACTAGCGGTTTTCCTTATATGAATAGTAAAAATACATAACCTATAAAAGTATATATTTGAAATTTCCGAAATCCTAATTTTAAATTCTCCTTCAAATATTTATAGTTAGATACTCGTTCGATTGTTATTGAAATGTTCGATTTACCAATCGATTACAAAAACTTTAATTGAATGAACGGAATGTTTTTTTCGTACAGCACTATGCAACCATACACAAGTCATAGAAGTATAGATGAAAAATAACCCCACTTTTGAACTACCATTTTTCAAATACGATTTTACGATGCTATTCAAATGAATATTTTTGGAAACAGTGACGAGATATCAAGTGAAAATCTTCGAAATATAGGTGAAAGTTACTTATTCCATTTATTGAGTGATTGCTTTGTATTTTTTTACTAAAAAAACTTGGTTTACTTTTTGTTGAAAATGGATTCGAACAGACTATACTTAACCTACAAATGTCCCATGTAGGTACAGTCAAGAGCACATCAAGCTTGACACTTTGTACTTTGGACCGTTCTTATCGTGAGCGGCATAGAGTTGGATTTAAGTCTTAAGTGTCAAGCTTGACGTGCTCTTGACCCTGTACGTCAAAATAAACATATATTGTGCAATGATTATAAAATAAAATATCGCATTCAAATTTTGCGCTGTCTACGACAACAGGGTATCTCACAGGGTACGTCAGGGTTTTCATACAAAACTGTGGGCATACTTGTTTGGACTTGAAGCATAAAATAATTTTTTCACATTCTAATTGAGCAACATTGAGCGTTTAGCGCTTTTCCCATTGTAGTTCGCTTCTTCTTCTTATGGTATCGATGGCATACATTTTACTATTGTGGCCTAGAACTAAGCCACTCCGACCGCGTCACTAGTAGCCGCCATTAAATCTTCAAGCGTGCAGGCGGGGCACGATATGAGGTGGGCCATCGTTTGAGTCGCACCGGACAAGCAGTCCAAGTCAGAACCGTCCGAAAATCCCCACCTGAACAAATTGTCCTTGCTCCGACCAACCGGAGTCTGAAGCCTATTTAAAGACCTCTAGATCGGCCATGACAATTCGTGTCCAGAAGAAAGACTCTCGGAAGGCGGGACATACGTAGACTCTTTCGCGCTAAAGGTCGCACCTCGCCTCGTAGTTCGCTGGGTCTTAGGAGATTAACCATCGCACACCGGCGGACGGCGGAAGAGAGGATATAAAATTTATTAATATATTTTTTATACTATTACAATTGAAATGAGATATAAATTTAAATGCTCTGAGACCCACCTCGTAGTATCGCGGCGGATTTCTTCCTGCGGCATTGAAAAGCATGCTAGAGGATAACGCGGCGGGAGGTGGCAGCACGCCACGGCATCCACCGGTATGTGTCTGACAGTCACAACCAACCAAATCGTTCAATAATAACTTTTCAACTGTAGTTGCTAGGACAACGGAATCAAATTCGAGTGATCGGCCGTATACCGAATGTATTCGATGGACAACATGCACCCACCGGCATGCCGCGGTTATTCCAGCGCACGCTGCGGTGCGCTGGCAGACGTTCTTTTTTTTTATAATATTAAGTGACGGGACGAACAGGTTGTGCGCCTGATGGTAAGCTACGCGCCTGTCCATAACAATTGTAGTGCCACTCAGAGCTTTAAATCGCAGAGATCTAAGGGGCACTGAGACTGCGCCCGTCACCATGAGTTGACAAGTCTCATGTGCCTGTAATTTCACCAGCACGTTCGCGGTATCATAAGGGATTTTCCTTATTAGTGTAGCTGGCGGGGCACAAGAACATCGTCGATGCTCTTCCCCACCGTCCGCCTGTGTGCGCTAGCCCTAATTCGAAATGGTATTGTGATACTTTTCGGAGCGTGTGAGGCAGACGCGTCGAAATTCATTGCATAATTTGCAATTTTTTTTAGTTTAGTTTCGTTTCGTTTCGGCTCGTCTCGTCTCGCCTCGTCTCATTTTATTGTATTATCTTAGGGAAGCTTACAGCTACTTTTACAATATGAATTTAAATACAAATAATGAGATGCCAATTAAAAGCTTCCATTTTTCATTCCATTTTTTTTATATATGAAAGTCTCCCATAGTTGATTCGTATTTGCAACAGATTATGACCGATGCTGGTTTTTTTTATGACACCAAGTAACGAGACAAACATGTCGCTCGCCTGACGGACGCCTGTCAAAGACAGTTGCAGTGCCACTCAGAGCTTTAAATCGCAAAGATCTGAGGGACACTGCTTCTACACCCTGAGACATAAGTTGTCACCAAATTGCTTGCAACATTGTGCTGATAGCGAAAAGCGAAAGTAGACCACTAAAGGTTTTCAGATAAAAAAAAATTCTTTATAAAACACGTCTTTTGTTTTTATTTATAAGATTATTAATTATTATTCACATTGACGAATTAACTTGTTAAGGAAATATAGATGGCGAGACTTGACGCTTAGCCACGTTGTAAAAAGTGAAATAAAATTGTTGAGTATTGAACTTAAAATTATAAGCATGCTCGTGTGCTTAAAATAATATATTAAAAAGCAAACTTCTTAAAGTGCTTTCGTTTAAACGTCCACCTATTCAATTGTTCATTCATCCCCTATTGTTGTATCTAATTATTCCCATCTGTTCTAAAACACCCTAATTATTATCCGTATGAACAAATATACGCGATTTAAATCCAGAAAAATAGTTTCATTTCTTATGAAACAATTTTTCTTATTTTTTATTATGATTCATAATCCTAACAATCGTGAATACGCACACAGCAGAGAACGTGGAATTCTAAACCACACTAATGGACCCCGTGTGGTCGGGTTAAGATGGTAACCTTAACCTTAACTAATTTAACAGTCGCAATTGGCAGGTCACTTCAAAGCTAGACGAATTGGTGAAAAAAATGGTCGCCGAAGAAAAAGCTAAATTTGATTTGCAACTCAAAGACATGAGATCTAAACTAAAGGATGTCGAGGAAACATTACAAGGTGCATGATTCGCTGTTCCTTTCAATATCAAATATGTCTAGGGATCAAGCAAGTTTTTGCCAATTAATGAAAATTTTTTTGACCTCAATCATTGACTTACAAATAAATGGACGACGGGTCTAATACAAAAAACATGAAAAAAATGTCCCAAGTCAACCTATTTAAACGTAGTGACATGTAAAGGAATATGAAAAAGCTAAAACGTTAGATTTAAATTGTAATGTCATCGCAGTACTGTCTAATTTTACTTGCTTCGCTGTCAGTTGAACAAACGAAGACTACAGCGTGAAAGACGCTCTGTATACGATTTTAATATATATAATTTCCCTATAAGTTCGGACACTTTTTAGCGCGGACCCGACGTCCATATAATTGTAAGTATTGACTGGTCATTGGACCTCAATGGTATTTTTGGTCAAAAAAATACATTGATCCCTAAAAACTTTTGATGTGTGTATTTAATATTTCATGTTCCGTTTTCCCATTGAAACTCTACTGGGTTTACGACCCACAGGATTCAAGAAAAATGAAAACACCTATACGGTATAACACTGGTATATTTGAATTTTACACAAAATGCTCAGGGATGGGTACAGTCGGAATAATTCGCTCGGTGATAACACTATTCACGGCGTACTCGCGTATGACGTCACCGAACTGTTATTCCCTAATTTTCTCCCCTTGAATATTTTTTTTATAATGTAAAGTGACGAGACGAACGAGTCGTGCGCCTGATGGTAAGCTACAACGCCTGTCCATCACAGTTGCACTGCCACTGTGCCCGTCACCCTGAGACATAAGTTTACAAGTCCCATGTGTTGTTGAATTTCACCAGCACCTAACTGCTATGCTAACATTATTGCTTGGCGGCAGGAATAGGTAAGGTGGCAGTACTCCCGTGGAGGAACTATTTCACGAGTTCTATTGCTGCTTACGATAAATATGTATTTACATTTTGATAAAACTAAATGTAGTCGCGTGGCCAGTCTTTTAGCTAATTTGCCACCATTCGCGCAACACGCATTGACTAGGAGCAGAGCCATTACTGCTGTAATCCCGTGGGTCACGTTTTTATAAAAGTTAAGCTTTATAAAAATAGTGAAAGTGCCCAATATATATTTTACGGAAAGTTATGCGAGTTTTTTTTTTAAACGAGTGGTGCCCACCACTGAATAATAGAATCAATTGTTCCATTGTTTGTATGCGTCGGCAATTGGTATGGGAGAGACTCGTAGAATTGAAAACCTGACGCCTGGGAGATAAGCCATACGTTCTACTAGATGTAAAGTTGCTAGAAAAAGGGAGTACATATAACATCGATCCGACTCAACTTGAATCAGTGACTGTCGCCTCAAAGTGACTACCGTTCTGTCAGTCAGTTTTCTGTTCTGGTAGCTGTAAAGGTACAGAGGAATATTATGGTAGTAAAAACATCATGATATTGAATAAAAATAAAATAAAATACTATTAAAATAAAATATGTATTTCAATTTTTGTTTTGTCAATTATTTCAAATGCAGTTGATTCTATTATGGTACTTGCCCGATTGTACTGTCTGTGAATGTATTTTTCCGAGATCTTTACATAACGTGATCTTCAAAAGATATTTTTTTTTTTGCTTGTATTCTCGCTTTTTATCTTCGTATCATACTTACTAGGTACACAATTATTATTAACAGCCTTTATATAATACATTGTTTTTGCTGTTGCATTCAGCGCGCTTATTCGCTGAAAAGGAAACGAATAGGTCCCAAGTATTATGGGCGGCTGGCTACGCTCTGATGGAGGCCACCAGGCAAGGAGAACCTGTCGTTAACGTCGAGAAGGTGTTGAAGGCTATAGAAGACAATTCTGGTGCTAGTAAGTTTGACAAAAATCAACCTATGTACATCACTTACAATGCACGAGTAGTGTTAGGTCATGGAAATTTTCCATTTGAAAAATAATATTTTTCAGAAAAAGAAATATTTTTCCGGATATTTTTCGAATATTTTTCTTTTAATTTTCCACTTTGACGTTGGCACCTGTCAAAAGTTGAATATCCTGAACGAAGATGATGGAGCCAACAACATGTGGTGTCGTGAGGTCGTTGGAGGTTTTTTCGCTGTTGTGAAATCATTTTAAACCTCGTTTTTTTCTAAGTGTCTTTTAGTTATACAGGTTTATTTTATAAAATTTCAAAAGATTTTCTAAACGTAGAACATAATTATGTTCCAAATTATGTCGACTAGTCCAAACATAGAAATAAACGGAAAAAAGTTAGACCTTGTCAATAAAGTAGTCTTCTTAGGAGTGACCTTAGATAGTAAACTTCAATGGTTTCTACATATATCTTCCCTGGCCAGCAGATTAAACTCCGCTGCATACGCAGTCTGCAAAATACGTGAACTTACCGATGTTAGTACTGCTAGACTAGTTTACTTTAGTTACTACCATAGTATAATGTCCTACGGGATTCTCATGTGGGGTAAAGCGGCAGATATTCCAACCATATTTGTATTGCAAAAACGAGCGATTCGTTCTGTGTACTGTAGTCTAGGCTCTACTCTATGATAGAATTACTGGCTGAGTGAATATAGTTTTATATTTAGAATGTGTTTTGAAATAGGAAATTAGAAAGAATAGAACGTCTTGATACTTCGAGATTTAACCTCAGTAAGAAAATATGTAAAAAAGTCATTGACTTACAAATAAATTTTCGTTTAACCATGGTAAATGACTCTTTTATGGGGAACTGTATACGTTTTTACAATAAGATTCCGGAGCATATATTAAGATTATCATTTCCTAAGTTAAAAAACTACATTAAAAATGTTTTGATCGAAAAGTTATATTACAATTGAAGACTACGTAATTAATAATTAATAATTTGATTCAAAGTGTATTCCATAGCATTTAAGTTCATTTGAAAAGAGCAATCCCTAGAGTTTTTGCTCGTTCTTCTCAGGGAAGCAGCGTAGTGAACGAACAGTACTTTAATGTAATATAATATATGTTTCATGTAATATATATATGTAAATGTGACGTTTTCAAGTGTAAATTTATATTACCTATGGAATAAATGATCTTTGACTTTGCCTGTTTTTAAAATTTTTCTAACTTCTCCATTTTTCCGGAAAAATTTCCACTATTTGAAATATTTCGGAAAATTACTCAACAGTATGCATGAGTATCTTTTCATGAGAGGGATAAGCATTATGAGAAAGCATTTAGTGAATCTTCAGCGTTCTTGCTCGATCTTCCAATGATTTTTTTAAATAGCTGTTGATTTGCCTTTCATCTCACTTGATGCACACCTAAATAATGCCTATTCACTCTTCACCTTGAAAAGGTCCACGTTGTGGCGTTCAAGGTATAAGTCTACAGGCAGGGAATGCCACTCCATAGCAGTTCGCTATATAAAGGATGAAACCGGCCTGTAATTTTACTAGCACCCTTACTTACCCTACCCTTCAAAACCGGGACACAGTAATGATGACTATACTGCTTGGTGGCAGAAATATGTAAGGTGGCAGTACACTGGATGAACTCAGGTCTACTGCTACTACTTCGCGATTAGTCGACGAAAGATTTTGCGTGATACACGAACGAAAGAACATACAGGCTGGCAGAAACTGCATAATAAAACATTGCGGCGTTGGTTTCTGTTATACAGAAAAAAATACTAACGTCAGAAACAACAACTTTTGTTCCATGACTTTTATAAAACATACAAAAATTTATGTTTTTGCTGTACTATCTGATACTTTATAGATCTGTTATTGGTAGTAAGATGTTCAAATGTGCAAGTGTCGTCTTTGAAGATCTCCATCTCCACTTCTGCGTTTTGCACTGGTATTTACGATAACGCTCTTTTGTTACCGCACAGAGTTATCACCGTTATATCGATATTTTTATTTTTCTACGAAAGTGAAATCTGATGAATTATTAAAATTTGTTTTTAATTATTGTTTATGATGTTAGTAATATAACCCCGCGAGGTTGTTAGTATTCTACAAATAACCCTACATAATCTGTAAACTTGGATATAACAATAAATATTCTACAAATAACCCTACATAATCTATAATCTTGGATATAACAATAAATAATTGGTACTATCTATTGTAGAATACTATTAATTATATTAAATAATAATATATATTATATATCCAAGATTATAGATTACGTAGGGTTATTTTGAAAGTATTCCGAAAAAAAACCGTTTATATATAAAGTTGTAAATGGTCAAGATCATGTCAAAAACTTTAGATTTGTTTTAAGTGTCGAGTTCTCAGGTTTTCGCAATTGCTAAACTTTGTAAACGAAACTTTTTTTACGATGTAAATCGCGTATATTTGTTTTTTCAAATAAACCAACGTTTTGCTCTCTGTACAGATCCCATGGTCGCGGCTGACAACAAATATGCGCAATTTAGACCCGAAAAAATGGTTAATTTTATAATTATTAATAATTTTATAATTATTAATAATAAATTTAATAATTAGTTAATTTCGAATAAAAGCAATAAATCAAAACGCTGAATTTTGAAACATTCTTTAATTTAAATAACACTTCGCAATATTGACCATGGGAAAAGTCAGAACTTAGCTGCCTACAGATTTGCTCGATACTGTCGATCGTTATGATGTGTTTGGAGACTTTTAATTTTGCCGCATCTTTACTTGTAAAGATGCAAATACATGCACTGTAGTGTACACTATATATAATATATATATTATATATATATATATATATATATATATATATATATATATATATGTGTGTGTGTATATAGTGCATGTACTTGCAGCTTTACAAGTAAACATGCGGCAAAATTAAAAATCTCCAAACACATATAACGATGACAAAATCGAGCAAATCTGTAGGCCCTGATCGACAATGTCGAACAATGTTGATATTGTCGATCGACAATTGTGAGCAAATGTTCAGGCACACAAAAAAAATCGATATTAAAAAAAATCTAAAGTTTATTTACGTGCTTGGCGAATATTTTTTTTCTAATTCTTTCTAAAATTATTAAGTGGTATTGGCATACCTTTTACACCTTAAAACCTTATTGGACTCTTTTATAACAGAGGACGGAGACAAACTAGTGACGACAGTGTTGGCAGCAATACCAAAGTCTGTCTACACGAAGGGAGTCGTACCTGAGAGCGTGGTTAAAGCACGATATTACATGGTTAGTTTGCTTTCAATACAAGGTGCTAAAATAAGTTCGTTTGAAATTTTATGCAGTAGTTTTATTATATACAATTTTATCTAAGGAAACTCGTCCGATTTGCGATTCTATTTCCTTTTCATACAAATTAGCTGGTTGGACAATTTGCGAGGAAGATTTTTTTTATGTTGAGTAGCGTATACACTAAGTTTTTATTTACTTCATTTGTTTCTTATTTTTACATTTGCTGACTATTGCACACTAGATGGAGGACGTGGCGAGGAAAGTGGCACTGGTCGAAAATGAAGGAGCACCCTTACCAGTGTACATTCTTTCCTTCCTCCAGGATATGTTACTTTTCTTCAGGGTTTGTTCATTTTTTTCATTATAAATAAAAAAATGCAGTCGAATTGAGAAATTCCTCCTTTTTTGAAGTTGGTTAACAATGCGTGCAGACGCGATATAATTGGCCAGTACGTTATAGTATTTATTTCCAACTTTGGATTTACGGTAATAGTGACAGAATTACATATTATGTAATATTATTGCACTGGAGTTTACATATTGGATCGTCCTTATGTGTATTGAACTAAAATGTTTACTTATAAAATTTTAGGTTGTATGTATACACTGATTTAAATTTATAAAATAAGACTAAAAGTAAATTTATTAAAGTAAAGTGACCTCACGAAACGAAATGACGATCTCGATGGCTCAACGGTTCATACTGTGGGCGATGGATAATTCACAGTCATTCGGGCGACGGCGACGACGTGTCCGATCGGTGACCGTCAGGATGGTTGGTCGCCTGTGACATCTGGCACTGAGTGTATATTGAAGAATTGCTACCTATGTTCTACCTTTTCTAAATAATTGCTACCTTTGATATATTCTGAGAAATTTTAAAAAATAATAGACCAGCCGTTCTGATATCAGAATGGTTGGTCGCCACTTTGTTCGGCATGAAGGGCGCAGGTTTTCCAGAAGTATGTATTACCAATTATTGGTACTACTTTCACGAATTAAAGGAAAGTAGCGCTAATACGCTTCTTATCTATATTAGTTAAAAAATAAGTTTATTTATTATTTAGTAGGTAAGCAGCTTGAAGCTGATATGCCTATATCAAAGCTGTGTTGAATTTTTATACAGTCCACGAATTGAAATAAATAAATTGATAAATAAATAAATATAAGCGATTGAAAATTTGACTTTTATTTTTCAAAGGTAGCAATTATTTAGAAAAGGTAGCAAATAGGTAGTAATTCTTAGATATACACTCAGTGCCAGACGCCACAGACGACTAACCATCCTGACGGTCACGTCCGATCGGGCGTCGCCGTTACCTGTTCACCATCATCTCGGATTGGGTGTACCTACAAAATGTGGCCTTCGCACTTTCGGGAGTCATTCGGGAGTCGACGCGGCCGTTCGGTTCGATACGGCCGATCACCTGTCACCAGCTGCGTACCGAGGCGATCGAAAATTCGGCGGAACTTGGGGTTTTACTCCTTCTCCGTCTGACGTCCATCCGAAACGGTTTTATTTTGTTTTTGTAATACCAAGTGACGGGACGAATAAGTCGTGCGCCTGGTTGTAAGCAACACGCCTACCCATAACAGCTGCAGTGCCACTCAGAGCTTTAATGCCACTGCGCCCGTTACCCTGAGACATAAGTTGACAAGTCCCATGTGCCTGTAATCTCACCAGCACACTTACCTTCAAAACTGGAATGCAGTAATGCTCACATTATTGCTTAAGACGCACGATGCGAGTGATGCTTCATACTTGACATTGGTTTTTGATTTGGTCAAGTATTACTTATTTGATAGTAATGTTTCGGACGGAGAACTAACCGATGCGAAAGGCACAACTTTCTCGCTCTTAAAGTTTTTCTGTCCGGCTTAATTCGATTCCGAGACGATAAGTGTGATAGCTCCCTTAAGGGCAACATAATTGATCCCAATAAAAAATATCAAACACTTAAACCAAATTCCTGCTATTACAACGTATACCAGAAAAACGGTAATCTTCAAATACAAATATCCTTTATTGCCACAATGACATTTTATGACATAAATAACATATTAAGTTAAAACATAAGCAACCAATAAACGGTACGCCAAACATGTCAGAGGGAAAAGGAGGTGTCTCAGCTTGTGCGGCCTGGAACCGTTGTTGTCTCAGACAGCGCTGTTTTTCAGCCACCTTGTCTCTAAGGTCTTAGGCGGGCTTAAAAGCAACGAGGGCCTAAAAACAATTATAAAATTTTAAAAACTGTTATTCTATATTATTCAATAATTCAATATTATTATTATATTATAAATATATTGTAAAATATTTAGGAGTGATGCTTGACGACAGTCTCAGTTGGCGTGCACACATAGACCTCACGACGTCACGCTGTAGAAAACTAATATACGTTTTCAAAAAACTGAGATATGTGGCTAATCTTGAGCTACTGCGTACAATATACTACGCCCTTGCGCAGTCGGTGATGAGTTACTGTGTTGGAGTCTGGGGTGGTGCCTGTAAGACTCACTTATTGACTTTAGAAAGAGCTCAAAGATCCATACTTAAAGTTATGACTTTTAGTCCATACAGATTTCCTACTACATCGTTGTATGACAAATGCCAAGTATTGAGTATAAGACAGTTGTACGTTTTGCAACTAGTAATCAAGCAGCACAGAAACACTCCATACTGCAAAGACAATTACATCAAAAAGCGCACCCGCACTAATGTGTGTTTTTCCATTAAATGTCGCACAGCTTGGGCAAGACGTCAGTTACTATTTATGGCTCCGTATCTGTATAATAAAATTAATAAAACTTTAAACATACATCCGTTAGCTGCTCGTGAAGCTAAACTTAAAACTAAGAACTGGCTATTAACCTTAGATTACCATAAAACTGAAGCCTTATTGTAACAACTGAGATAGAAAAATAAAGTATTTGCAGGTAATAACAATGTAATAGACTCTATACTACTAACGCGCGAATGTATATTGTCACACAAAAAGGCAGGCACACACACACCTACACCCGCGCACATGCACGTTCACACTCACACACACACACACACACACACACACACACACACACACACACACACTCACACACACACACACTCACACACACACACACACACACACACACACTCACACACACACTCACACACACACACACACTCAGTAAAACATATAATATGTAATTTATTTAATAATGTTACCTATTAAAATTGTTAAGAAATAGCTAATGTAAGGTCAAATGTTTGAGAGAGGACACTGACTCCTGTAACACAGGTTATACCTAGCTCAGGTGTCAGGGACTTCACTATTGTGTTGTAATTATTTTGTAACAATAAATATTATTATTATTATTATTATTATACATATAATAAGTACATATATATCTTCAGAAATATTTCTCCAATCACGCAATCCGGAACCAGTTTGAGAAAGGATCGTTTTTCAAATTGGTCTAACGGTTTTCCATTCGAATGGATTTCCATTAGTTCCGTCGGCCTCGGCACCTCGTCATATACCTACGAGTACCTATCGCTCACAGAGCCACGTGCAATGTGTTACAGTCATCTGGTAAGACTCGGATGTTACGTCTTGAAAGATCACAATGAGTGATTCTCAAGGTTATGACGTCGAAACCTATAAGGTTCCCCACAACAGACCTATATGCATTATGGAAAGTGCACTCAGTTAGGAAACTGTTTGTCTTGGGTGCTATTTTACATAAGTATTTAAGACTACCATATGATCCAAATCTATTCAGGGATAAACGAAGAACAGACAGAGTATGTGAAATTGCGAGGTTGAAGGAAATTGGAGGTGCATTACTAGACTGCCATTTCTACTTTTGTGGGTCTCCACTTTATAATAAAATTAATAAAGAATTAAATATCTATCCTCTACCTTATCAGGAATGTAAATTCAAGGTCTTCAGAAGCCACTGGGCTTCAAAGTCTCAGTTATAATGATGTTGAAAAACTTGTTACTCTCTAGGTATTTACACACGGACACACAAACACACACACACATACACAAGTATGCTCAAACACATCGTACACTCACAATAAAGCATCCTGCGAACCAATTAAAACACAGTTATTATTAGTGTATAATTTGTTACTTGTATCTATAAATTCTTTTCTTAGTATTATATTAAATTAGTATAAGTTTACTTACATAAAATGGAACACAGTGACTTCTGTAGTTATTATCGAACACAATCTTATCATGTATATCTTGTTATTGTTCCGAATAAACATTTCATTTTATTATTTATTTATTTATTAAGACCTCGATTTCAGCCGTCGTCGATCCCTCAAGCAGAACTCGAAGGTCCTGCGAAGAATGTCCCTGAAGACCTCGACACTTTCGACTTACTGCAGAGAGCAAAGTAAGTAAAGAACAAATACAAATAAAGAACAAAATATCTTTATTGCACACGCAACAATACTGGGTCCCAAAGTACCCAAATAAAACGAATTTAGTGTAACACAACACCTTAGTAAAAACGGTTTAACGCCATCTAGCGGCATTTTATCTCGACCACATACATTATTGTGTTAAATTGTTAATAGACTGACACTTCACAGACTAATACTGCGGTCATTAGCAGGTGCCGAGGTACCAATAGGTACCCCTTGTGAAATTGCAACAACAATAAATACTATTTCGTTATTGTTATAAGTTGTTGATGGATGTCGTCAACCATTTCCGTCCAGTTTCAAAAACCTGTATTGCTGTGTGCAGCTATTACATGCAGCAAGGCAAGATAGCGTCAGCGGTGGCGTACGTAGACAAGCTGGAGGGCGCGTCGCGCGGCGCAGCGGAGACCTGGTTCAGAGATGCGCTCGCACTGCTCGAGACTCGGCAGGCGGCAGCGGCTATCATGGCGCATGCGACTGCGATCGCCGCTAAATATATTTAGGGTAAGAAGAAATTCAGCAGCTCTTACATTATTATGTACCCATATATTTTCCTCTGCTAGGGGCTGTTCCACCCCTAGGATAGAGTTTAGGATACAGTCCACCACACTGGCTCTATGCGGGTTGGGGATTTATGCATCTTCAAAGGGTTTAACCTTCTCTTAGATGCGGATTTCTTCTTCGTCATTAAAGAATGTCATAATTTGTAGTATTACAAATATAAAAATAAATTTTAATTTTGTTTTCAGGATTTGGATAATCGAAATAATCAGATTGAATTTTACTTGAGAATATGAAAGTGTCCATGGCACTGAACAGCTTTAGAAGTATTTGTTTTTACTCAAAATCCATAGAAATCTGTTGTCACTGTAATACAAAATATAATATGTAGAATTGTTTTGTTATTGTAGTTTTATATCCGACTATAGTTTTTTAACATTATTGACACTTTTATAATACCCTTTATAAGGACATCAAAATAATGACGATTGTTAATAAGTGTATTTTGTTATTAATTTTTATGAAATATGAACTTTTATTTATATTAATAAAGGAAATAGTTATTTCTGAATTTATGGTACCGCATTAAACTTATTTAACAATGTCGATTTCTGAAGTTTAATTTATAAATTTAAGATTTGTTCTTAGGACGCCCTGCGGCAAGACAGACGGACAACCTCAAGAAAACAATACAATAACGTAAGTATTTGTGCATATTAGTTGGTCTGTAAGTGAAACGTGCAATTTAATTGCCCGGCTGATTGTACAAATTCCGTTAAATACAAAATCTGTCATTTTCAGAATTAAAGGGTACTTTTGGCGGTTTGGGACCACAATGAGAAATGACAACATCTTCAAATAACCACTTCTACAAATGGTCACTTCTTGAAATTACCATTTCTTTAAATGCTACTTCTACAAAAGATCATTTCTTGAAATGGTCACTTCTTGAAATGGTTACTTCTTGCATTGACCACTTTTGCAATTCAATATGTTTCAGCTTCGGATTAGGAACACTACGACAAGTTTGAAGGTGGATCTTTCAGGATATACATTATTAACGCCTTGGTAACGGAGGGTGACGTCCTTCCATCCATCGCAACTGGATTTCGCAACCATTTGACAAAAACAGGCAAAAAACATTTCATTTTCGTTTTTAGTTTAGATAAATATCTGGGCATGGTCTTAAATTGGCGAAAGGGTCTAAAAATAGTAAAAAATCAATTTATAATTAAAAAATAAAATGGTTATTTCAAGAAATGGTCAATTCAAGAAATGGTTATTCTTGAATTGACCATTTTGAGTCATTTTGAGAAGTGGCCCTTTTTAATTGTGGTAATTTTTCATTGTGGCCCTAAACCGCCGAAAGGGTTTTGGGAAGCGTCCCAGAGTAAATTTCATAGTAACAGGGAATTCCTTACTTTGAGGCCATTATTCCCACTAGAGGCCAGGCAAATGGTCGGTTGTCTGCACAAATAAAAACGTTTCCATAACCTGCAATTTTGCCATTCATCGAAAAAAGAGGCCGGTAGAGCGGGCAGCAAAAGACCGGGAGGGTTAGTGTGCTTTTTCTTTATTTCCGTTTTTCATATAGATCAGAATTTTGGAAATACTAACGAAACAGCAGTTATCGTGATTTCTCGTCCGTCACATTCCTCTTTCGTCAGATCATTTCTTTTTTCTAGCAGTGGACGCGTGTAAGCTGTGTGATGATATTTTTTTAACAATGCCTGTACAATGGGCAATGTTTTGAAGAACTACGAGTATTTGACATGATATCAACAGCAATATTTTATTATCGCGTCACTCGCCAACGGCAGGGAGTCCAACCTCACACTTGGGAGTCGATCTCGTACTGTACGGTTTCAGAGGATCTTCTTCCCAAGGTTGTGGAATGAAATCCATGCATTTTCCCGCAGGATTACAGCATGGAGTCATTCGAAAGGGGTTTGGGAAGGGTCCTAAAGGGTTGGCAACGCGCTCATGACGCCTCTGGTGTTGCAGGCGTTCATAGGTAATGGTTACTGCTTTCCTTCAGGCGGGCCGCATGCTTGTTTGCTGCCTACTTAATATTAAAAAAAGAAAGAAATTATAATGAAATCTTTGTTTATGTTTTACGGTGTGAATTCAAAATATCCAATTCAATAGTATAAATGAGAAAGTAACTGTTACGTGTACGCCTAAACCGCTGAACCAAATTTGATGAATTTTAGTATAGTGTTAGATGGAACCGCAGACCATATAAATACTAGTAATGGAATCTAGGAGAATAGAATAGAAATAGGCTACTTTCTGTCACACAAATAGATCTTAAGAGGGTGAGCTAAGAAATGAAAGTTTGTACGGAGAACCAATTCTTTCTAGTAAATAATACAGGAGGCTATTCGAAGTACTTATTCTACGCAGACGGCGACGAGGGCACCAGTTAGTAAGAAAAGAAAAGCTTTTTCAGTAATGCCTAATTCGCTTTTGGGGGACCAAGAGCTCTAATCCTGTTGGTGTAGTAAACTCGATTTTGTCTTCTGCAAATTTAGGTCCTTGATCTCCTTAGATTTTGTCCCTATTTTATTTTGACTGGATCACAGTAAGCCGTTCGCGGTCATTCTCGCCCACGCTTGCCTTCCACTTATCCTTTGAAGTTGTGATGTCATATAAGATGGCCCGTTATACATATTTTTTCTTTGGTTTTCCACTATTGTCAAGATGTTTCAGCTCCCCTTATTTTATATTTTTTTATATATTTTTTAAATACATTTAAAAAAGGTAAAATTTTCTGACTACAGGAGCAAGAGAGCCCAGCTGTAGCCAAGAGTTACAAATTGACTATAACAATGTGCACATTTATATAAGACAATAACTTCTATTAAAATTGGTGATAAGAGAATTATTCATTTTTTTTTATTTACCGCCTTTGGTTTCTAGTCTAATAACCTCTGGTAGATAAGTTGTCGCGAGCGAACCTGTATCGCGAACCGAACTAGGAGTCGAAGTGGTCGCCATGACCGAACACGTTCGGGTAGATAGATTTTATGCTATTTCAATAGAAGTAAGGTATAAATTTCAATGCCCTGAGGCGGGCCTCAGAGGATCGAGGCGCATTTTTCTCTCTGCGGCATTGAAGAGCACGGTAGATGATACCGCGACAGGAGGCGCCGGCGACGAAATCCACTGACATGCGCCGGAATCCTCCGGCGTGCGCCGAAGTCTGCCTGAATGCGCCAGTCACAGCCAGTCAGATCAAATCCGAGCGACCGGTCGCGGTGGCATGTCGGCAGATCTCATGGCGTTCCAGCGGTACGTAATACATACGATGTCGTAAGGGATACTCATCATCAGTGTGCGCTGGCGGACGCACTAAAATCCTCTTCGACGCTGTTCTCCGCCGTCCACCGGTTTGCGCTGGCCCTAAACGTTACGCTACTTGTCTTATTATACTGTCGTTAAAGTCCCTATCAACCGAGCCGAGAGATAGGGTTTTCCGGAGAGACTACGGGCAAGACCAGGGTACAGCGAGCGTCCGGGCCAAGCCCTACGCCAATGATATGCCTTTGCACGGCTGTCTCTGGCGGACACGGACTTGGGTATGGACTCGCTGGGGTTTGTGGTTAGCTGCAGAGACGTATAAAATTTAATAATACAAATTATAAAATTTTATACGGACACCAAACGGATGCACCGGATCAGGGGGTCTACTCTTGTTCTCTCTCCGACATCCCTTCGAAACAATTACTGTCAAATAAGTAATACTCGACCAAATTAAAAGACAATGTAAAGAGGCAGAAAACAGGTAAGGTGGCAGTACTTCCCTGGACAAACTATTTCACAGCGAGCTCTACTGTTACAAGGTTAAGGTGTTACAAATATAGAATGGAATTTCAAACTTATAACAAAGATTCATATTATAGTGAATCTGCGCCATTCGAGCTTTAATGCGTCGATTTCGGATTAACAACCTTATGCACAATGTTCAAAGTCATTTCGAGGTATAAACTCATTCTTTTTATTCTTTGTATTAGGTTACTTTCATTCTAAGAGCACCTTCAAATTAGACACTTATAGAAGCACTGCAGTGGTGCCACTGTGGCGAGGCAGCCACGCGTCCGTAGCGGTAACCTATCACAAACTCGATTTTTTTTCCGAAATAACGTTTGTTCGAATTTTCGTTACACCGAAAACCGAATTATAACGAAGCCGTTGTTCTTTCAGGATATTTTGGTTGTTTATAGCAAAGACAAAACAACATTTTCGTCTCAAAATTACTTTCGAGGTTATGAAAATTCGAGCAAACGTTAATTCTGGAAATGTCATTTCGGACTACAGATAGGTAACTGTCAGTAGCGCTTCAAGTGTCAAGACAGTGGCGCTGCAACTAAATACTGTTTGAAAATTAGGAGTGGCGCAGCTGCAGCGGCACAGTTCTATAAGCGTCCGCCCTAAAGAGGCGAATACTTTTGTATTTTGTTACATTTTTGACATATAAGTAAGAACTACTTTACCACGCTTATATAATTAGATGCTTTAATAGTTTTGTAATTCTAATACAAAGTACCTACAGTAGAATTTTATTTACGATTTTTTCCGATTCATTCCGGGATTTCACGGCTTTATTGTCCACTGTATATTTTGAGTGAGTACATTAATTAGCTATAATATCGTCAGTTACTAGAAAGCATGTTAATGGAGTGTAAAAATACTCCAGATAACAATTTCCTTTTGTTTGAACCGATGATTCTCAAAGTGGTCTATATCGATTCGCGGGGTCCGCTCCACCTTACAAAGGATGTTATATAAACAGTACAGAGTACTAAAAAAACCGACCTCAAAAGTACGTGGAATAACGTCTATTTGCTAAGTTTTATTGAAATATCCCCTAGTTTCTTCACTATACAGGACTTGACACTGGAGATAATAAAAATCGGTTCTCACTACTCAAAGTATATTGAGAGAAAAACGCCTTGAATTGGAGAAATAGCAAAATCAACCATTAAAGTAATTGCTAAATTAAAGTTAGGCGCTATGTATAAAAATGAATCTTCATATATTTCAGCGTGAGCAGCTACCCTTCGTGGTGGATGATTTTCTTCAAAATGAAATGGGACCACTATGGAAGTACTCCCTTTCCAACAAAAAAAGAATCATGAAAATCGGTTCACAAATACCGGAGTTATTGTGTAACATACAAAAAAAAAGAAAAAACAAGAACATACAGTCGAACTGAGAACCTCCTCCTTTTTTAAAGTCGGTTAAAAAAATGGGGTTGAGATGTTGAGACTGTATTAAGTAATAGCGCATAATGCTCTGTGATCCATATCTATAGTAACCACCTACGTGAAAACCTAAACCTATGGTTTATATATAATTATCTATGGTATAAACCTGTTAAAAGAATTACATTAGGTAAGTTAGATTTAAAACCACTATTAATTATTTGGTTTTGGGTAATAAATGCAAAAACGAAATCGCTTACATAAATGTATGCACTGAAACAAAATAAACTTAACATATGTTTTTTGATAAAGTTTCTCACTATACTGCTAGACTTATTATAGTGAGTAACACTGTGTAAGCTGTAAAAAAAAATAAAGTTATCGAATTAGTAAAAAAAGTATTAGAAATTCTCTCTAAAAATCTGTATTAGAAAGGCAAGGGGTCTACGCAAAACAAAAAAAAATTGGCACGTGCTCTACGAAACAAAAAACTTTGAAAAACTCTGGCCTAAACAAAGAAATGCCAACATACCACCAACATTGTTAACATAACTTTTAAAATATTATCTAGAGAGTGGTGCTGCGCGCTTTGGCGGGAGAAGAGATCTTATTTATAGATAAGATATTTATTCGAGCCAATGCACGTGCGGTCTGTTATAATACAAAACGCTTTTACATGTATCGCAAACGATCTATTAAGTATTCTACTCATGTGGTAAGTGATCGCCAAAAATCAACAATACTCCATTATTGTTTCGTTCACTGTCATCGTCGTCAGTTAGTAGATGAAATTTGTGCTTGTAGTAATTTGTGTTAGTATAGAGCCGTGTAAAATTTTACAGGTGGTTGAATGTGTCCTCGGATAATTGGATAGGATTTGTCACCATGAAAAGTGTACTGCTGCTGCTTGTTATCCACTTGTTGCACTGTGAAGGTCGTGTGGTGGTACGTAGAGACGAGCAACTCAACAACCGGCCTATTATCGGCGTACTTTCTCAAGAGCAATCTAAAAGTCTACAAAAGAAATATCCGAAAGAAAATTATACTAGTTACATAGCTGCCTCCTATGTAAAAGACGTTGAAGCATCCGGTGCTAGAGTCGTACCCATTTTGTGAGTAATATTTTGTTTTTTTTTTCGATATTTAAAATGCAATAAAAAATTTAAGCGACTAATTTATAATTTTTTTTAGAATCGGAAAGGATCGTAAATATTATAGAGAATTAATGCAAAAAATTAACGGGTGAGTGCTCTTTATTAATAATAAATATAACACGATTTTTGTTCGTTCAAAATTTAATTTCACTAACGACTTTATTTTTGAGGTCAGATGTTGATATTGACATACCCTACAAAAAATCGTTCAAATTTTCGGGTTTAAAATATACAAAAAGGGAAGTTTATATTTAAAATCTATAGTATATTTCAACCAAAAATCTACAAATTAATGACAAAGAACCTAGAAAAGTGCAGATTTGCGAGATTATTGTAAATACCAATAAACAGATTTCTAAATAGGCAGCTGTGTAAATAACTCTGTGATTGGCAAAACAGCAAAGTTTCAGGTGTATAGATAGATACTGTTTTCTCTTTTAGTAGCAGTAGAGCTCCTTGTGAAAGAGTTCGTCCAAGGAAGTACCGCCACCTTACCTATTTCTGCTGCCAATCACGAATATCAGCATTACTGTGTTCCGGTTTTGAAGGGTAAGGGTCTGGTGAAATTACAGGAACATGGGACTTGTCAACTTACGTCACAGGGTGACGGGCTCAGTGGTAGTGCCCCTCAGACCTTTGCGATTTAAAGCTCTGAGTGGCACTGAACTACATTTACACGGATTTGATTTGACGACTAAATTACCGAAATGGAGACTCTTCATCAAATGCTACGATTTTTCAAATAATAAAAAAATTTACGTGCCATTATCTAGGAGATATCAAAATGGTAATGCGTTAGTTATGACAGTGTAGAAAGCATGGTACAGTCAAAAGCACAAACTTAATATTTTAGACTTTGGACCGTTCTTATTTAAACCATTTATTCACCACACAAAACATTAAACGTAACTTTTTTTATATAATATCAAGTGACGGGATGAATAAGTGGTGCGCTTGTAAGCTATACGCATGTTCATAACAGTGGCAGTGCCACTCAGAGGTTTATATTGCAAAGAACTGAGGGGTACTGCCACTGCGTCTGTCACTCTGAGACATAAGTTGACAAGTCTCATGAGTCCGAAATTTCACCAGCACCCTTACCATTCTAAATCGGAACCCAGTAATGCTAACATTACTGCTTGGTGGCACAAATATGTAAGATAATGACAGTACTACCCTGGACGAACTCTTTCACGAGGAGCTCTACTGCCACTGTAACTTATTGAATGACATTAAAAATTACGATATATAACAACAAAAATTAATTGCAATGATAGTGTGGCAAGGGGGGAAGCTCAGCACACACTGTGTAGAACTTGTAAGCGCATACACAGCACTGATTTTCAGCTTATCCCCGCTGTTTTGGACAACAGATATATAAAACACGAGTACAAAGGCATAAACAAAATTAAAACTAATGAAATTCACAACACACACATTCCTGTTTAGTAGTATTTCACAAATAGAGCAACTAACTATGACATAAAATGTGTGTGCATCACAAATTGCGTCACAAGCAAATACATATAACTACTTATAAAATTATGTAGGCATCAAGTACGTTAAATACGGTTGAATATGTTTAGTAATTGGTACTAACTACATTTAACCGTATTTAACGTTTAACTTGAACAACATTTAATAGTTTTTACTTATGTTATATTGTGTAATGGCGCGTACCCATTATGTCGTGACGACAGATAGACGTGCAATTTAAAATGTCGTGTCTTGTATATTTAAGTGAAATTGTTCACATATTGTACAACATGATTAACTGTCGCTCACGACTTTTTTGACGTTACGACGACAGATTGTCATGACAATGGGAAGAGCTGAACGACTGTCGTCCGATGAAAAATAAAACGTCACGATAAAAATGTGACGACAGATAATCGTAGCTTCAAACGATTTTTTGTCGTGCAAACGGCAAGGCAGCTGCCGTCAACGAATAAATTATCATCTAGCTAGATCTAGTGGGAACAGCTAGACACGACAGTCGTTCAACGATAAAATAAACGTCCACGACACAGTCACGACAGATAGTCATGATATGGGAACAGATTAGACGTGACCGTCGTCCAACGATAAATAAAAATTACGAAATAATGGGAACGCGCCCTAAGTAAAAATTCTCGCGCAGTCTCGGGAATTTCCGCCTGTCGAGAACTAGAGATAGTTTGTATGTTTCACAATTGACATAACATAAGTGTGTGCGTTAAAATAACGTTCTGCGATAAATTGAATCTTATCTTTATATAAATGTTAAATAATTTTTAATATGCAGAGTGTTGTTTCCCGGTGGAGCAACTTACTTCAACCAATCCAACGGCTATGCCGACGCGGGACAGCACATTTACGAAATTGCTAAACAAATGAACGACCGAGGTGATTACTTCCCCATCTTCGGCACTTGTCTTGGTTTTGAGTTGATGATTATTATCGCTTCTGGTCGCGGCGAGGTAGAAAATAGAATCGAGTGTGACGTTTTTGAAAATTTACCTCTTCGTTTTGATCATGGTAAGTGAATTTCATATTATGGTTTGACAATAAGAATATAATTAATGATATTTATTTGCAAACGTGAGTATAAAGTAAAGCAGTTTAATTAGCAGAAATTCTGTGTGCAGTACTATAATTAAATTTTTCAGTTCATGATTTTTGAAATTAGAATTGACAGATTAAAAGTACTGAGTAGAAAAAAAAAACCATCAAAATATTCAATAAAATTATAAGATTACATTTCCCTATGTTTAATAGAATAAGGCTTATTCCTTTATTACTTATCCATAAATAAAATACGAGGACTGTTTTATTATGTGTAATGTTAACGTAATAACTTGAATCTATAACGCAATCGATGTTTTATAAAGTATTTATTACGAAAGTACAGACTTGACTGAGATGTTAGGAAAACTGCAGTTACAAGGATACCTAAACCACAAAGCATGCAATCTTCTTAACATCCACTTCTCTTTCTCTCTTTATGGAGATAAAATCAATCTATCAATCACTAATCTTGCTTTATACCGTTCAGTCTTCAGCTTCCATCAAGATAGAATACTCAATTGAAGAGTAACGCTCTGATTTTTCCTATTCGCAATTTTTTATTTCCTACGCAAAGAATTCATTCATTCATTTATTCACAAACACATACACATACACAGACACACACACACACACACACACACACACACACACACACACACACACA